AGATGCATGCCATTGCGTGCATGGGCGGCACCGAGTGCATTCTCCTGGGTGTCATGGCTTACGACCGCTACTTGGCTATCTCCCACCCACTGCTATATACCATCCTCATGGGCAGGTGGCGCCAGGTGCAGCTGGCCTCAGCCTCCTGGGCTGGTGGCATCATTGTCTCTACAACAAACGTCATCTGCGCCCTCCGCCTCCCATATTGCGGCCCCAACCGTGTCAACCATTTCATCTGTGAGCTGCCGATCGTGATGAAGCTGGCATGCGCCGACATCCATTCCACAGAGATGATTGTTTTTGGGACATCTGCGGTGGTGATCCTGACCTCTCTGGCTGTCATTCTGGCCTCCTACGGGCTCATTTTGTTCTCTGTGCTGAAGATGCACTCAACCACTGGACTGCGCAAGGCCCTCTCCACGTGTGTATCCCACCTGGCGGTCGTCACCCTGTTTTACAGCACAGTCATTGCTGCATATGTGAAACCCCCGTCAGTCACAGACCCCGACAGCGACAAGAAACTCGCTGTCTTTTACATCGTGGTCACCCCTCTTCTCAACCCAATCATCTACACCCTGCGCAACAAGGATATCCATGCAGCAGCAGCGAAAGTCCTGCGCAGAAGGGGCTTGGAATAAGATGCTAACGTCTTGTGTTATTAGTCTGGGTGTTGCCCAGTTTCTGCCAGTTCCCCTTAATGAATGCTGTGCCAGAAGGCCTAATGTGCTTTGTATTTGCGTATCAAGTCTCCGCTCAGCCCTGAAGCCTAGTCAGAGGTCTTAGGTTTTGAGCAGTATCCCTTACTCTTTCGTTCTCACAGAAGCAAACCACAAGCCCTATTTGTATCTTCAAAACATCATGTGTGGGCTGTGGGAATGTTCAGGGTGGCAGGATAGGATATATTGTTTATTAATATCCTTCCTAACTTGCGCTAGCAAGTTCCTTTGCTTAGCAGAGTGCATTCCTCTTTACACAACAGAAAACTAGTTGCAAACTCATGTGAGATTCTTAAGACAATATGCAATTCAATCTGGTTTGTCCAGATTGAAAGGTGTTTGAACATTTTCCTGGTAAGGTAAAGGTAAAGGGACCCCTGACCATTAGGTCCAGTCGTGGCCAACTCTGGGGTTGCGGCACTCATCTCACTTTATTGGCTGAGGGAGCCGGCGTACAGCTTCCAGGTCATGTGGCCAGCATGACTAAGTCGCTTCTAGCGAACCAGAGAAGCGCACGGAAACGCCGTTTACCTTCCCACCGGAGTGGTACCTATTTATCTACTTGCACTTTGACGTGCTTTTGAACTGCTAGGTGGGCAGGAGCAGGGACCCAGCAACGGGAGCTCACCCCGTCATGGGAATTCGAACCGCCGACCTTCTGATCGGCAAGTCCTAGGCTCTGTGGTTTAACCCACAGCGCCACCCGTGTCCTGCGGTAAGACCCCCTTGAATTCCTCCTAAAAGAATGAAGACGACAGTGTCTTTATTCATAAGCAATAAAAAGAAAGCTTGCTCACGATCAGGCAGAGCACAATGTGATCCCTGAAGGCAGGCTTTAGGCTTAAAGTTACAAACGTATAAAAACAGTTTTACCCCATGAGGGAGATTTACCTAGTGACTGCAGGCTGGCAGTCCAGCAGTTCAAAGGACAAAAGGAAGATGGAAAAGACACAGAGTGGCAGCATGCCTTGTCCTTTTACCAGGTCTGGAAAGTCACGCCTACCCACTAGTCACCTGCCAAGGGCTGATTTGCCTGGCCAGGCTCCCCACAGTGTGGGCGGGCAGACATCCAGTGTGGATCCACGTGACTCTGGTGGTGAGGGCTGGGCTGGAGCAGTGGACTCTGTGAACGCTTCGTGCCCTTCCCTCACTCGGTGCAAGGTCTGGGCTAGCATGATGGGTTCTGTTCATCCTCTGTGCTGGACATGGCACTATCCATGTTTAGGATAACCTCCATTTTTTGACATGATTTTTGAGTCAAAAAACCTTGTCTAATACACCGAAAAATACGGTATTTAGACTTTTTTTTCATAATGATGACATACCTATAGTTTTCAGCTCAATTTAAAACGATTTGAGAAACATTTTTGCATAAGATTATACCTTGTTGCTTGCTTTCATGCAAAAGGGTAACTTCTAGAACACAGTTCCCCAGAACAAGTTATTAGTGGAAATCGGCAGTTTGACATTCAGCGTGGATTTTAGCCATGTGTATTGTTGTAGGATTAATGATCTCTTCACTGTATGAAAGCCTAGGGAGAGCATTCTCTATCCAAACCTTTCCAGTTACGTAGCTAGCTTGGTGTTAACATTTTTTAGTTTAGAAAAAGACCAAGATCTAATGTGTTTTTAAGGTGTTGAAATTAAACATTAGTGCTTATTTTGGAAATGCATTGAGTGCTCTATTCCTGACAGCTGTTCAGATGAGATTGGATTTCATCAGTCCTCAAGCTAATTTCTACCATTCAGCCACAACTGTATTATACCAACACATATCGTTATATATATATATATATATATATATATATATATATATATATCCCTGTACTCATTACTCGTCTGTCAGTTGTTGTTTTTCTTGGATTGAACTGTACTAGAATTCAATGTGACATTAAAAAAATGCAAATTTTCTATTTAAAAGAAAAAGCATATACAGTCAAAACACAATTTCATATTTTCTCTTATTTTTTCGACTTCCCACCCCTTGCTGTTTCTCCCCTTCTGCTGCACCCCATCTATCAAATCATAACCACAATATTATAATCTCATTATTTCTGCTGCTCATAGCTCAAATCCTGCTCTCCATTTCATCATACTGCAATATTTATTTAAATAGTCTAAAAAAGGCATCCGTTCTTCCATAAAACACGATTAATTTTGCTGTTAATTTTGCCGGTTCTGGATAGTCCATTACTGCATCTTACTTATCCATTCTTCTTTTGTTGGAACTTCTTCTTCCTTCCATTTCTGTACATAGAGAATATTTATGTACAGAATATTTATGGGGAGACTTCTGCTCCTTTAATCCCTGACAGAAATGCTTTGAGCTTTTTTGATATACTCATTTTAAACATCTTTTTTTAAAAAAAAAAAAATCTTATCACACACACACACACACACACACACACACACACAAGGTTGCCCAATAAGGAATGCATCTCCACCCACCAGGGTTCTCTTCACCCTCCACACATCCCAGCATGCAACCACTACTTGCTGGGCAGCAGGGGGGATGCCACCCCTCAGTATTAGGGGGACTTGCCCCTTGCTCAAATATATTGAGGGGGCTGAAGCCCCTTCCACCCCCGATAGTTAGTGCCCCAGTTCCTGGGGGGGGGGGAGCCCTCCTCCCACACACAGTACACATATGCACTGAGTCCCAGCCTGCAAAACCAATAGCGATTTCAATTTATACTTGATTCCACACATCAATGCATTGTCTTCATTTGCAATTTGTTCCCACTTTGCACCATGGGCAGGTGGCTCTCCAGATGTTGCGTGTCGAGACCCCGAAACCACCCCTCCTTTGAAGAATAACCCACACAAGGACACAGATATTAAGTTAATGTTATTGGGCAAAATTTGGCCACAACTTTATTGAGTGATTACAGAATGTGAGCGGTATTGGCTTAGGCATTGTTTGGACCCAACTATATCTGACTCCTGCCCGTTGCGCACAGAGTCCAGTAAGGGTAAACCACTGGAAGGGGGAGCCCTGTCGATGCATACCAACTCGAGCTCCCCTGGGTGTTCCCGTCGGGGTTGTGTCATGGCTGTAGCCCCGCCCCAGGCTTCGGACAAGATCCACATCCCCAGATTTCTTTAACGGAATACCCTTAAGCTTGGAGGTGCAGGTGATGGCCACACCTCCCCTCCCCCATTATAAGGTCAAACAATGCCTAACCACCACCCTAACAAAGTTGTGACTATTGCTACGAGGTAGGCGAAAACCAATTGGCTTGTGCCAATTTGCCAAGTGGAAAAATTCCTACCAGACTCCTCAACAGCAACCAACCAAGCTCCATAGCAAGGCCAATGACTAAAACCTGAAAAATAGGGAGGGAGGATGGGAGATTGAGGAAGTGAACCAAGAGGAAGCCCCTGGCTCACGCCTCAGCCTAAATGGTCCTGGCCACACCCCCACCAGCCAGCGGATTGGCTGGCTGGCCGCTGACGTGGCCGGGATCCCCGGGCAATGCGGGACTTCGTCCCTGCCCTCAGAGGAGAGTGGGTGGCCACGCGCTCCACCACAACTCCTCCCCATGTTGAATTGGAGTGGATCTGTCAGACTTGGTTACTGCAAAGTTTAAAAGAGGTAAAGGAATGAGTCTCATTGCACTCAATTAAACGTAACTCAGAGTAGACATGTACAGGACTGCCATGCAAGCGATAGAATTTAATGACCAGATTTGAATGGACGCTCTATGTATTAAAGGGGCATATCAACCGTGTTTGCAGGCGTGCATAGTGTTTGGGAAGATGTGCCACAGGATTCTCCTCATCCCAGCAATCTTTTGTTTGAAAGTTCAGCGACTCTCTTCCTCTGTGGTGTGACAATCCTGTTGCTCTTGGGATACCCAAATAACCTAACAAAACAACAAACCCTTAATGAAGCAGAGGAAAGCCCCAACGGGATTAGCAGAGTCCTTGAGTGATAAAACCCACGGCCTTTATTATCTTGCCTTTATTACTATATCCACAAACCTTTGGGAATCTGGGGAGCAAAAACCTGACAATTAAACCATGCGGTGACTGTGGCCTTAAAAGGCTTTGCAGATTGGAAGTGGTATTGTTGTCAGGAGAAAACGCTGTTGCACTAGGGCTTTTTTCATAGCAGCTGAACCAGAGAACCGGAATGATGGCTCTTCCCTGCTTTGGTAAGTAGAGTTTTATCTTTGTTTATGACAGAATGGTGTACTATGCAGGAAGTCAGAGAATCCAGTAGCCCTTAATTTTTGGATCCTTCTGTGGAACCTGTCCAGCACTCAAATAAAAAAAAAATCACTAGTTGGGGCAAACCAGAGTTTTTGCACGTATGAAGTCTGTGACATCCCCATTTAAGGGACCACAGGTTAGAAGCCATAGAACAGGGGTGTCAAACTCAAATTCATCGGGGGCCGCGGCGCCGCTAGAGGGCAGACGTTCTCTGGCTTGTAGGCTGCCGCGCATGCGCTGAAGAGGTGGCTTTCTTGTGTAAAAAAAAAAAAAGCGAGAATAAAAGGTGCTAGTAAAGCTGAATCACTGTGTTGTGAGATGATGCATGTCTAAAAAGTGTGTCACCAACATGAAAAGTTTGGAAAGCTCTGTTGTGGAGGAATGTGCTCATCTTGTTTTTGTTTTTGTTTAGCTCTTATTCTTTCAGACTGGTGGAACCTGGACTGGTACCTAGGGTTGCCACCTTTGGTCGGGCAAAAGATGGGAAACGTGGAGGGGGGAATTGGGCTGGCTAAAGATTACTTTACCTGTTGCAGAATAAAATGGCTTCAAAGCAATCCATTACAAAGGGTTGTTTCCAATACTGGTCATACTCATAGAGTAGACCCAATGAAATTTATGAATCTAAGTTAGCCATGCACATTAATTTCTATGGCTCGCATCCTCTCTGCCTGCTGAATTTCTGCCTGTTAGAAGAATGGTAAATGTAGATACCCAGTCAAAAAAAGAAAGAGGTGGAGATAGCAACAAATTCTGTTTCTCTTCCTAACAGAGCTTTGTCTCTACGATCCCTTTCCATATAGCTGCTAAGGCCAATTCATTCACACACACACACACACACACACACACACACACACACACACTCATAGTCAGACAAGCTCATCCAAGCACTAGGGTTACATCATTTCTTGTGACATATTTGAGATGTTTTTAAAAGAATTCATCCGTTATCTATAGGCATCTATAGGCATTCCTAGAATCTGTAGAATTTGTAGAGTTGAAAGGAACCCTGAGGGACATCTAGTCCAACCCCCTGCAATGCAGAAATTTTAACTAAAGCATCATTTAAAGCACCCTTATATCACTTTTACAGTTATGGAGGCCCACCTCCCAAAGAATCCTACTTTGTTTGGAGACCCCCTATTCCTCTCCCAAAGATATAATCCTGAGTCTTTTGGGAAGAAGGGTTGATTGCTCTACCACTGTTTTTTCTCAGGTAGCAAAATGTCTTGGGCCAACTCAGCCTTGCCTATTTAAACAGACAGGAATGGCTTCCCAGAGCAGGTCACGATTTGGAGTTTCAGCATTTGCCTAAAGGAAAGCCACAAAGTTCTAGCTATTTTGCCAGTCTCTGCTTCCTCCTCCCTCTGCATTTGTAATGTAAGTGGTAACAAAGTTGGCCTGTAATACAGGTATAGAAGAATTGCGGGGGGGGGGGGGGAGAGACTTATAAAAGAAAAACCACCCACAACCAATTCTAACAATTGTAGGTGGCATGCGCCATCATAAAATAAGCATTTAATTCAGTGTGTGAGAAGCAGGGGGGAGCATCTTTCAAAAACAAATAATTGGCTGCTGCTTCTGGGACAAAACACTAATAATAAAAAGGTAGTGGATCAAAACAAAGAAACCACCTTCTTGACCATTTGACCTACTACTGGTCCCATCCACTCAATCCGCCAGAGCCTGTCTTCACATGCAGGTGAAGTCCCTAACTTACTGAGGGTTTGAGACCCACTGGCAACCCTCACCTGGTTTAGCTGTCCAGTCGAAGCCGTTCCTGGGGTGTGGTTGCTATCGCACGACAGCTTCTAGGAGCCACAGATGAGAACTGAGTGCCGAAGAAGGAGCCCGTCAGAGGTCATACCCTCCCGCTAACACCCCACCCCAGAATTATAAAGTGATAGTAATAGACATAATTCAAGACACTACATGTTAACTTGCAGTAATGGAGCGCTGGAAAATGAAGTCTTCTATAGGAACCAAGTTCTCTCTCTCTTTTATCGTCATAGATTGCTTTGTAATTCATTGTGCCCTTTCAGGAACCAAAGAGTAACTTTTCATTGTTAAGGTTGTCTCCAAGAGAATCAGACTGTCTCCAACGGCGGCACATTGTCTCTGCAGCCAAGCAGAGCAGAATGACACCTGAAAACCAAACCTCCGTCCGAGAGTTCATCTTGGTGGGACTCAGCAGTCACCGCACAACCCAGCTTCTCCTCTTCTTCATGATTCTCCTCGTATATTCGCTTACCCTTCTGGGGAACTTGGTGATCATCATGCTTGTGCAGGCTGACCCTAGACTCCACACGCCCATGTACTTCTTCCTGACTCACCTCTCCGTCTTGGAGATCTGCTACACCACCAGCACCGTGCCCCAAATGCTAGCTCACCTGCTCTCCAGAAATGGAGCGATCTCCCACACTCGTTGCGCAATCCAAATGTACACCACCATGACGCTAGGTGGCACCAAGTGCTTCCTGCTGGCTGTCATGGCCTATGACCGCTTCCTGGCCATCTGCCATCCACTATTATATATCATCGCCATGGACAGGAGCCGCCGATGGCAGCTTACTTCAGCTTCCTGGATCATTTGCTGCCTCATTGCAGCATTGAACATAGGCTGCACATTCCAACATCCCTACTGTGGCCCCAACCACGTCAACCACTTCTTCTGCGAGCTACCATTGGTGCTGAAGCTCGCATGCGACAACACCTATGTAACAGAAACCATTGTTTTCTGGACCTCTGTGGTGGTCCTCCTCTGTCCTCTCTCTGTTGTCTTAACCTCCTATGGACTCATCCTGTCGTCTGTGTTACAAATGGGATCAAGGGCTGGTTGGCGCAAGGCTTTCTCCACCTGTGCCTCCCACTTGGCTGTGGTCAGTTTGTACTACGGCACCCTCATCTTCATGTACTTGAAGCCAGTCTCAGCCAACGCTCCCAACCAGGACAAGCAAATTGCTTTCTTTTACATTGTGGTCACCCCCCCTGCTCAACCCGGTCATTTACACCTTGCGTAACAAGGACGTCCATGGGGCCGTGGCCAGGGTGATGAAAAAAACCAAACTTTAAATTGCAAAGTTTAGCACTGGTGTCTTTCTTAATCAGTCCTGCCATTGTCCCAGGGGTCTGTCAGTCACTTGCCATGACGATTACATCACAATTGCTGGATTGAGAGGGTATTGATTCTCTGCTCAGATGTTCACACACTGGACTGGTGACGGTGCGGTATTATAATATTATCCCTGACTTACCCAGGTGGTCACTGCCTTCCGCAGGAGGGCTTCTCCTTAAATTCTCCAAAATGCAAGAAATCCATTCCACAGTAACTCAGAGAACCATTCATAAGACAGTGCTCCTTTGCAAAAGGAAACAAAGCTGGCTAACTCTTAGCATATTTGTTAAAACAGAAACAACGTAATAATTTGGTCCAAAAATTAAAGACCAATGAGGGTAAGTTGATTGCAAGATCTGAAGATGTTGCAAATGAATTTTTAAAAAAATCTGAGAAATTATGGAAAAATATGGAAAATTAAATTTCATGTCTAACCTAATCTGAATCTGATAAACTCCACAGAGTAGTCAATAAGTTTTAAAAATGCAAAGTCCCCAGATAAGATAGTTTCACAGCTGAGTAGTATAACTAATTTTTGAATGAATTAAAACACTCTTTGTCAGAGACATTAAATGAAATTATGGTAAGTCATGTTTTTGCTAAAACATGGGAAATGGCAAGAATAGTGGTAATAAATAAAGATCTTTCTAAATCCAGTGGTACTATCATATAGCACTCCTGAATCAGGACTTTAAAATATGGAGCTCAATTCTAGGAAATAGATTAGATACAGTAATGCATAAATAGCAGAAGATAAAACCCGGTTCATTAGGGGGCATAAACGCTCTTCAAACATACATGTGTTCAATATTCATGCTATATAAAGAATGAAACCAAAACATTCGGCAACTGAGCCATTTCCAGATCCAAGGTACGACTGTAATATGATGCCACAATGTTACCACACTTACTATGATGGTATCATCCAGATCGTTCAACTGTACTGGAACGGAGTCTACAGAGTTAAGCAAATGCATTGTCGTATTGCTCAGAATTAGACAAAGGCATAATTAAAACCAAGCATTGTACCAAAATACCGCTTGAAATTTGGAAGAAATTCCTACCTATGAAAACCTGCAGAGCATGACTGAGAGGCAAGGGTGAGTTGGGGAATGGAAAACTGGGTGAAGGGAGAAGTCGCAGCAATCAGCAACACCCCAGACTGCAGTCTGTATGGGAAAATCCAACCGAAAGACCAATTGTGTATCGAGGAGGTAGTGATTCTAACATGGTTACCCTTCCTGCCTCTGCTCCTTCCCCCTCCCTTGCAGTTGCTAAGTTTTTGAAGGTGTGAGAACCTTCTCTGGTGTCAAAATCAGTTGAGAATAGCTGAAGCCCCACTCACAGCTACCTGAATCAGTCTAGGAAAACAATGCTGGGAACCTTCTCTGATGTCTGAAATTGTTACTGGAGGGAGGGCATTGAAAGGAGGTGGCTATCTATAAAAATCAGATGGTTTGAGCAGAGAAACTTAGAAGCTTGTGCACGGACTGATTGGCTGCAGGGCAATGCAATCCAAGGCTACCTGAGGGAGTCACTTCACCACTTCTTTGAGGGCTTCCAAGTGACAGATAGAACTGCATGTCCTGGTATGTATATTAATGTATTGCTTGCTATTTAGGAATAAAATCCTCTTCTCACCCACTTGTGTTTCGTATTGCTTCTGAATCTTAAACAAAACAACCACCTTGCATTTGGCAAGACGCATTCTTTGGTTACATATCACACTAGTTCTATTAAATACTCATGAGGAAACAGCCACAGCCAATTAAATAATAGAAACACTTCAGAAGGCAGAGACAGCTATGTGTTTATTTTAAAGCTTATAAACCACCCTTTCAGCAAAAGCTCTCAGGCTAGCGTGCCTTGAAAGCAATGCACACAAATACATTGAAATTCAAATGTACAGTACAAAAATGTTGGCCTTTACACAACGACAATAAAAAATGCACAGAAACCTGAAACCCCAGCTACACAAAATGCTGGAATACCTGCACAATTCTGCCTCAGCCTAGTGCTGGGAGGACAAAAGTGGTACCAGGCAAGCTTCTTTGGAAAGGGAATTCTAATTATGAGGCGCCACAGGTGAAAGACGCCCTCCAGTCAGTTCTCACCTGAACTTCAGATAGCGGGAAGACTTGGTCAACGTCCAACTAGGACAGCAAGGTTCACACAGGTTTGTGTGGCACGAGGGTGTCCTTCACAATACAGTAATTTAGGATCAATGAATACATACTATTCAAAGTGGGCAGGAAGGAGGAGAGCACAGAGGTGGCCACAGGTAACATAAACAGAAGTCACTGACACACAAAGTGCCTCTGTCAGTGGAATGTTTCAAGCAGCTGTGAGGAACCTGTGGCCCTCCAGATGTTGCTGGTCTCAAACTCCCATCAGCTCCAGCAAGTCCATGACCAGGGATGAAGGGAATTAGAGTAACAACATCTGGAGGGACCACAGGTGTCCTGTTCCTGGTCTGAAGGGATGACAAGCAGTTTTTCTGTCCATGTGGAGTAGCTACCACCAATACTCTGGAGTGAGGGTAAAGACTCCAGTGATGACTTGTCTAAATCAGAAGGGACAGGACTCAGGCCCAATGGCTGAATGCGGTCCTCTGGTCCTGGCTATATGGCCCTCAAGATGCCCCCACCAGGCCGTGTCTTTTTATAAGGCAGCACTACATCTCCCAAGCCACAACCCTCATTGGCCCAGTTTCACTCCCTCATGTGCTTCTTACTGTCCGGAATGCACTTCTGAATTTTTGAGGCTGCTTCTCACACGAGTAGTGTGTGTGTGTAGCAACCTCCAAGGCATGGCACAAAAACTTAAAAATTTTGAATGAGAAAAGTGCTCCAACTACTTTTGCCTAACCAACACACATGTGGCCCCAGAAAATTTGCCCGTGAGGAAATGTAACCCTTGGGTTGAAAAGGAAGAGAGAGAAAACACCACCACCCCCAACCTAAATTAAGAAGTTTGCATAGGCCAGTCTCTAAAAACCAGTGTGCAATGCATCCAATCCAGGTAGGGATTACTGCAAGCCAATCAGGACAGAGAATGTTCCTGAAGCAGGAAGTGGGCTCTGTGCAGCTGTAGCCCACATTTCCACACTGTTTGTTGGGGGCTGGGAATCTGGACAACTCTGGTTTGAGACTCAGGTTCCCAGCCACATCTACAGCATAACCTGTGCAGGCATGGGAGTCCTAGAATTCTGTATTTCCATCCCTTGGAACCTCACATTCTTCACCCAGGGAAGTATTATTTGTACAGGCCAAGGGAAGGGCTGTGGTAGAAGCACATGTAGGCATCACAAAGCAGCCGGCGGGCATATATGGGCAAGGATTTAGGATCCAGGCCTTGGAGTGCCTCAGGGGGCATTGCCAAATAGTCCGCTACTTCCGAGCAGGGTGTGACTTGGGGAATGTTAAAGCCATTCAGCCCACCTGGAAAAATAAGGAAATTAATAGGGTTAGGAGGAGGAGGAGAAGACAAGGAGAAAAAGTAAGCAAAAGGCTCCCCAAAAAGTGTATCTACATGGGGGGAAATAACTATTAATTCATTCAGTTTATATCCCACCCTTCAGGCAACATGCTCTGTTGAAAGCTGCCTGGAGTGGGTGGGGAAACCCAGCCAGATGGGCGGGGCAGAAATAAATAATAACGATAACAACGATAACAATAATAATTATTTTGATCAGCAGGCCCAAGAGGCTCAGTGGTTTAGACCACAGCACTGCGCCACCCACACCCCTTTTCCCTAGTTTATGACAGGAAGTAGCTCTGGGTGTTCTTCCAAACAGGCAGGATAAGGCCACTCACCCTCACGGTCAGCCATACTGTCAAAGAAGAGCCACTGGTGAACATCTGGGCCATGGCGGGTAAACGCTACGTAGTGGCTGGTCTCGATGCAAAGGACGCCGAAGAGCTGCATGGTCTGGCGGGGGATGAAGTCAGGCAAGGAGCCCAAGCGGGAAAGCTCCTCGGGGAGATGCAGAGGGCGAGGTTGGTGGCTGCGCCGGGCACGGTGTTTATGGACCTACAGAGGGCAGGAAATGAGGTAGAAAAAAGAGGGAAGGTCTTCTCCCTCACTCATAATACTAGAAACTCAGGGACATCCAGCGGATGCTGCATATTGGAAGGTTCAGGGCAGGCAAAATAAAGTGCTTTTCCACACAGAACGTGTGGATATGATATTCCCAAAACCACAAGAGGGAAAAGAGCTCTTGTGCTCAGTTCCACAGGCAACTGGTTGGCCACTGCAGGAACAGGAAGCTAGACTAGATGGGTCACTTGCCCAATCCAGCAGGACAAATAATAATAATATATTTATACCCCACCCATCTAGCTGGGTTTCCCCAGCCACTCTGGGCAGCTCCCAACAGAATATTAAAAGCATGACAAAACATCAAACATTAAAAACTTCCCCAAACAGGGCTGCCTTCCGATGTCTTCTAAAAGTCAAAATAGTTGTTTATTTCCCTGATGTCTGGCAATTCAGCTTCTTTCAGAAGAAGCGGCCACATGCTGAATGGCGCACCAGCCTGTTGGGAGGGAGAGCATGGCTGACCACCCTAAACAGGAACAGTCCTGCTAGGAAGGGAGGGTGCGCTGCAATATTTTGTTGGAGGTTGAGCTTGTCCATGTTGACGGATTAAACTCATTCTTAATCCACTTGGCTGCCCAATCCCAAGATAATTATTATTAATAAAATAATAATAATAATAATAATAATAATAATAATAATTTATTTACTTATACCCCACCCATCTGGCTGGGTTTCCCCAGCCACTCTGGGCGGCTCCCAACCTAATAAAAAAAACACAATCAAACATCAGTCATTGAAAAATCCCCTTAAAAGGGCTGACTTCAGTTGTTTTCTAAAAGTCAGATAGTTGTTTATTTCCTTGACATCTGATGGGAGGGCATTCCACAGGGCGGGTGCCACTACAGAGAAGGCCCTTGGCCTGGTTCTCTGTAACCTTACAATGAGGGAACCGCCAGAAGGCCCTCAGCGCTGGACCTCAGTGTCCGGGCAGAATGATGGGAGTGGAGACGCTCCTTCAGGTATACTGGGCCGAGGCCATTTAGGGCTTTAAAGGTCAGCACCATCACTTTGAATTGTGCTGAGAAACATACTGGGAGCAATGGAAGTCTTTCAGGACCGGTGTTATATGGTCTTGGTGGCCGCTCCCAATCACCAGTCTGGCTGCCACATTCTGGATTACATTCTTCAACTACCCAATACATATTTGGGCTAAAGGTGAGATTCCTAGGTCTTAAAGAGTTTGAGGTGACTGGACTAGACAGCCTACAATCTCCCATTCCCCACTATGACTCATTTTCGCTCAAAGATATTGCAGAATTCTCTGTGAACTGCTTAAAAGACCATTTTTGTATATGCGGTATACAGATAACATGAAAGCAATGACATTCTATCCCGCTTTGATAAGCTGGTGACCAACCCCACGGTACCTGCTGACTGCAAAGCTTGCAGAACTGCTTGATGTGGCGAGCGCCAAAGCTGTGGTCCCTGTAGCAATCCAGACACTCAGTCACAGCCAGCCCTTGGCAAATGCAGCACTCTCGAGGGCCTGCGATGGGTTGATTGGACACATTTGGGTCAGTCAAAGAAATGGAAGTCTTGGCTTAAAGACGCAAATAGCCTAAAAACACACACGCACAACAACTATAGCGATGGTAAACTAGAAGCACTTCCACTGCACTCATTCCGAAAATGCCTTTCCAACCCAGGATTGGAACTCTTGGAAAAACCTTTCTGTTCTGCAAGTTTGACTAAGAAGCCTTCCCCCCCCCCCCAACAGATAAAACGAAGTCCCTTCTTCACCCAACTTTATTTCTAGAAGTCAATTATCAGAAGTTTGTGTTTTTTCCAAGGAGCTCAAAGTGGCTGAAATATAGTGAGGGGGTTGTTGTTGTTGTTTTGGTAATGTTTCCTCCTTCTCCATTCCTGTCCACTTGTAGTTTTCTCCCTCCAAAGTAGACCTCTTTATTTCAGGGGCTGGGAACCCATTTTTCCAACCCAAAAGCCACGTTCCTTTGAGTAACCTCCCAGGAGCAAAAAGCCAAATGCCTGTGACTTTATTCCCCACCAGTATATCCAGGAGTAATACACCTTCTTTATTCTTTTAACTACCAGTCTATTCATTTCTTCTCTCTCTCTCTCTCTCTCTCTCTCTCTCTCTCTCTCTCTCTCACACACACACACACACACACACACACACACCCTTCCTTCCTTCCTCACACTCACGCACCAGCCCTCAGGATCTTGCCCACTATGGAATGTGTCCCTTGGACTAAAGAATGGCTTCTCATCCTTTCTGTAAATTATTGCTTAGCTTCCGGAGAGCATGGAGATACAGCATTTTTTTTTAAAAAAAAGGACAGGTTCCTCAAATCCATCTTCATTCCCACTCCTCTTTTCTTTCTCAAACACTTTCTGCACCATACCCTCTGAGACAGTCCTCTAAAAAAACAAATCATCATCACCCTTTTCCCTCTTCACTCCATCACCACCACTTACTGTCTTCCAGAAGGTCAGTGAGGTCAAGTTCCAGGCTGGGCTGTATGGTGCGAAAGGCCTTGAAGTTCTTCCCATTCCGTGGCATCTGCAGGATGAGGCAAGAGGGGGCCTGCCAGGGAGTAAGGAAGCATGGGGAATGGGAGAAGAGGGAGAATGGATGGCAGTTATTGATAGGGCCCTTTCCATAACATTCACCACACAAATGAGGTCTCCTAAACACAGGTGACCTCCGTTTTTGGAACCTGTTTATGGTCTCTTGCAGAAACATGCATGGTGGTGGGGAACTTGATCCCAACCATCTTTCCAGTCCTTGAACTCACCTCTGTGAACTTGAGGTCCCCAGTGACCAGAGACCCCTCCAGAAGCTCCTGAACTGTGGGCACTGCCCGGGTCAGGTGATCCTCAATAAATATCTGGTAGAAAATGCAGCCGTGGGGGTCCTGACCAGCAGAGCTTCATGGGAAGAGGATAAAATAAAGGTGAGAAGACATCAACATCTAAGCGAGCCACCTACCCTATCTACTCATAGTTCACCCTTTCCTCCAATCTCCTCCCCCTCATGATTCACCCACAATTCCCCTTCACAGGAGGTGGGGAGCTAAAACGCTGTGCGAAGTGTCTCCCCACCCTCCAGTCATGCCTGGGCCACTGGCCACCTCTGCTGCTCCTGCCAGTTGGTGCTTATGCTGGAGTTGGAAGTTGCCACTTATTGACAGTCATGTGAGCTGCAGCATGACAACAACCTTACATTTTTATGTCTATAAGAAGATATACACACATCTAGCAAATGGATGGTAAGCCTTACTCACCGAATCTGGAAGAGTGGCTCCATTTTCAACACTCGGAAGAGCAGGGTGAGAAATTCCTCTGGGTCTGTGAGGGGAGAGGACATGAAGTAATTTCCCACCCGTCACATCAATTTCTTAAAAACAAACAAAAAAACCTAACTAATCATGCTGCCTGAGTTATCAAGTTGAGAGTTAAGATCCTCATCCTTTCTGGCAACATGTTTTATACTGCAAATTGAGAACTGGATTTTAATGTAGCACTTTGGGGGCTCGTTTGTTTGATGCACAAAGAATGGGGGAACAATGCTCTGAGGTTCACAGAATCCATCTCCCTTCCTAATTCGTTATACAGAGTTATCCAAAGTCCAACACACAAGCACACCACAGCGTTGCACAGGCTGCCATCAAACCTTTTTCTTCATGGGTGAAGCCAGAGGAGTGTCCAGCCGTCTCCAGAACCTTCCGCAAGGCCATAATTTTGGTGGCACAGACATATCCATTCCTGTCGCCGCAAAAAAACAAAACAACAACAACGATGGTGTTATCACCAGGTTAGATTTGAAAGAGAAAGTGGTGGTGGGGAAAAGCAGCAGCAGTATGTAACACATGCTTATAAGCAGTACTACATTTTCAGCAAAATCACTCTGAATTCTACTGAAATGGGAGCATTTTAATGAAATACAAGGCTCAGAAGAAACCCAAGTAGCTCAGAGGCTTGGTCAAAGAGGCTTCGCTTACCTGTACTTATTTCTTAAGGTTTACAAAGAAATGGATAAACAATCTTCTGGAACTCCCCCCCCCCCCCCATTTTCTATTTTTTCCCCATTAAATGTTCACCAGCAGAAAATGTAATGGATTTCTTGGGAAGCGACTCAAAGTGTGGGAAAGCAAAGAGTTTTTCTGAAAGACCCATCAAATTTTATACATCTTAATGTAACTTTGCCTTCACTTTCCCTCGGCGATGTCATCGCAGAGCCAAATCCAATGAACTATGCCATATTGTGACATTATCCTACCCATTACATACGGCTCCTGATGGCATAGGCCTGATCCAAGGAAGAGGAGGAAGTAGCCGAGGCATTTTAGCCATGGCTAGGGCGACACGAACTTACTTGCGCAAAGGGTTGACGATCTCCGTTCTCAGCAGATCCCGTGTTTCAGTGTAAGACGGACCATCGTTCTTGTCTGCTGGGCGCAGCAGCATCGAATCCAGCACTGAGGTAAAAGTGAACATGCTACAAGCGAGAAAAAAAGAAAGTGTGGTTGTTGAGATGTCTGAATTCTGCCCCTACCACCTCTTAGGAGCAGCTTCTAGCGTTTAGTCCAGGGAATGGGAACGGAGAAGATGATATGTATGTCTTTTTAAGTCCAAAAGAGGACAACCAGCCTTTTATATCTATCTACCTACCTCTCTGTGTGTACAGAGTTAGAAAAGGGGATGCGGGTGGCACTGGGGTCTAAACCACTGAGACTCTTGGGCTTGCCGATCAGAAGGTTGGTGGTTCGAATCCCCATGACAGAGTAAGCTCCCATTGCTCAGTCCTGGCTCCTGCCTACCTAGCAGTTTGAAAGCATACCAGTGCAAGTAGATAAATGGGTACTGATGTGGTGGGAAGGGAAATGGCGTTTCCATGCACTCTGGTTACTGTCACGGTATCCTACTACGCCAAGAGCGGTTTAGTCATGCTGGCCACATGACCTGGAAAGCTGTCTGAGGACAAACACGGGCTCCCTTTGCCTGAAAGAGATGAGTGCCGCAACCTTTGACTGGACTGGACTGGTCCAAGGTTCCTTTACTTTTACCTAAAGTTAGTATATTGTTCCTGTGATTTCAGCAACAAAAAAACCCTCACCCAATTTTCTTAATGAGGCAAAACATTTCAGCTTCTGCTTTCATCAGCTGCTCTAACAAAAATGAAATGATATTGCTTCCAAGCTGGCAATTACCACCCTCTAAGATAAGATCATGCAACGTTTACATGTCCAGTTATGGAGAAGTTATCCCTCCTTGCTAAAATTGTTGGATCTGTTGGCATCTCTGCAGCAAATACTGTGGTTGTCAGAACGGAAATGTTTAATCAACTTGCCAATCCACGTTTTGGTCCCAAGTGACAGATTTGCAATTTCTAACATATGTGCAGATATTCTGGCACGTCCAAGTCCCAAGAGACTGTTATCTACTCACAGTATAAAAAGACTGACTGTGATCTACTCATTGTCATTGCCAGGAGTTGTTGACCTTTTTTTATGGGAGGGTTGGCCAAAGGTGCTCACTAAACTTCATTCCGTGGTCTACCTGCAACACCCCCGCGATCTACCAGTAGATTGTGATCTGCCTGTTGGACATGCCTGTATCTACATGAAATAATTTTTGTGGGGTGATATCCAACAGTCATCCTGTTTACACAAGGAATTTCCCTTCCCTCTCCTCCTCCCAAGATCTGTTCAGAGCTTCCACCTGCTCCAGTCTTAGGAAGCAAATTTCTTGGTCTCTGCATCACATCAGCTCCCCGCTGCAACCTTACCAGAAGAGAGTGGCATCCAGGTAGCAGGAGTTGCAGTGACCTTGGATCCCCTTCTTCCATCCCGAGAGATGCTCCATGCCCTGGTCACCTAGCGGCGGCGGTGGCGTGTCCTCTTCCACTCTGCTGCTGGTGTACCCACGGAAGTCTTCGGGAGGATGGGGAGAGAGGGAGAACAGGTGAGGAACAACACAGGGCCTCCTGGCATCTTGCCCTTTGCCTGGTTGCTCACGGATTTGACCTTGTGCTTTATAGGCAGTGGAGATGCCTCTGGGGTTCCCAGTGAGCTGTTAAACATTAGAAGTGACAGGGAAAACGGGTCGGTCTTTCTCCCCCCCCACCCCCAGGATGAAATCACTGTGTACACATGGGAAGCTGCATGACACCAAGTCAGTCCATCGGGCCATTTAGTTCATTATTGTCTACATCGGTGTTTCCCAAACCTGGGTCTCCAGCTGTTGTTGGACTACAGCTCCCATCATCCCTAGCTAGCAAGGCCAGCGGGTCAGGGGTGATGGGAATTGTAGTTCAACAACAGCTAGAGACCCAACATTGGTCTACACCAGGCATGGCCAAACTTGGCCCTCCAGGTATTTTGGGACTACAACTACCATCATCGCTAGGACCAGTGGTCAGGGATGATGGGAACTGTAGTTCCAAAACATCTGGAGGGCCAAGTTTGGCCATGCCTGGTCTACACCAATTGGTAGTGGTGCTCCAGAATTTCTTTCTCAGCCCAACCTGGAGATGCCGAGGGCTGAACCTTGGGAAGCAGATGCTCTACCACTGATCTATGGTCCTTCCCTCATACACTGGCAGAGCAGTGGGGAGGTGATTAATGCTGCAAGATGCCTCCCAGCTTCAATGGGCACAGAACAGGGATACATCTGATGGGATGGGTTAACCTTCCAAGGAACGCTTCCAACTCTCTTGTTTGGGAGTCACTGGGCTTCAGCCCTCCTCCTTTCCTTGCTCCTTCCACAGATAGCTAGTGTGGAATAATGGTTAAGAGTGCTGTACTAGGGGTATCTGACTCCCAGTAAGTTAGCAAAAATGTATAAGACACAGGGCCGGATTCAGGTTTGATGAGGCCCTAAGCTACTGAAGGTAATGGGGACCTTTAGTTGTCCAGCTGTCCTTTGTCAACAACAAATTGTCACTATTTTTTGTGATATTTTAGGGAGCAGGCTAGCAGGCGGGGCCCATTACTTACATCATAGGAGCCTACACAACACAAAACACTGTTGCTGTATGTAGGTTTTATTTGTTTTTCATCTTATATTTTGGAAATGCACATCCAGGTTTTTTTCCTTTACATTTTTTGAGGGCCCCCAAATGGATTAATCTGTTTCAGACTTTAAAAAAAACCTAAAACAACAATTTAACAGGAATTTTACTATCTAACGAGACCATTGATCCACATTACTTTCTATGGGAAAGCGTGCCTTAGTTTTAAAATGCTTTGGTTTTGGAACGGACTTCCAGAACGGATTAAGTTTGAGAACCAAGGTACTACTATAATGTTTAAATTTGGATGTGTATGATTGTGTTGTTATAATTTTATACTTGTAAAATCACAGAAAAATTATTTCAAAAAAAGAAGAGCTGTACAGTGGTACCTCCAGTTGCGGACGGGATCTGTTCCAGAGGTCCGGTCGGATCCTGAGGTTTCCGCAACCTGAGGACCACTTCTGCCCATGTGCGCATAGCAAAACCCAGTAAAATACTTCCGGGTTTGCCGTGCGCAGATCCCAAAGTTTACATAACCAGAGGGTTACATAAACGGAAGTACAACTGTACTAGGAAGACTGGGGTTCGAATCTCCACTCAGCCACGGAGCTCACTGGGTGACCTTCGGCCAGTCACCACCTCTCAGCCAAACCCACCTCACAGGGTTTTCGTGAGGATAAAATGGGGAAGAGGGATAATCACATGCTCCTCCCTAGAGGAAATATGGGACATAAACGTATTTATAATGATCTATGCCATACCCAAGGGGTTGCAACGCAAAACAGGGTTCTCCAGATTCTGCAGAGAGCCGAAGCGCGAGTCAGGACGGCAGTGGCGCAGCTTGACGAAAAGTGCTTTGTTGGGTTGGCAGTGGAAGTAGCGGGTCCCTCTGTACTGGCCATCCGTGCATCCCGAAGGCAGCGGTTCCTCCTGGAAAGCATACAAGGCCCATCCTTAACAAGATTCTGTAGCTGTGGCTCCTGCATTGGGGGGGAGGGGGCTTAGATTAACCTTTGGGTTCCTGCCAGCTCTACAGTTCTGTGATTTTATGACCTGAAGCCTTCAGCTTGCGATGGCACATGCCATCTTTGCATACCAGCTGGGATAGCAAGACAAGACTCATCGCACCTCAACAGGTAGTAAATGAGTACCGCAGAGGGGAAATAACAGTGCTGTGAGATTTAAGTTCAAGCACATTTCACGTATGAAGGGAAGCTTTGCTTCTGCACATGACTGTGGCATGATGGGAAGTTTTGCTTCTAAGCTTTTCTTCTGCACATGCTGCACAAATTGTTCTAATACCAAGACATTCCCTCATCATCCTAGAATGTTCAGTTCATATTGAGTTCATGAAAACATTATACTCTGACCTGTTCTTAATGCATAGTTGACCACATCTATCGGAATGTAATTGTCTAAGTCTTGCTATATCAATCATTAGTTATAATTTAATTAGGAGGTTTCATGCCTGTCTAGTTCTGTGCTCCCTTTCCCAACCTTTAATCTATTGGTGATTAATGTAACCTTTGCTTTGTACTTGTGTTAACCAATCAGCAATAAGCACATATGTGGCAAATGCTGTAATATTCAATAAAGGGGACTCTCCGAGACTTGCTCGAGAGATGCCTCCCGTATGACACCTTGCCATTCGTCTGTCGCTTATTTCAACCCAACACACGTAAAACGTAAGATAGGCCTGCTGGATCAGGCCAGAGCCCAATCCAGCATTCTGTGGCTGATCGAATGCATATGGGAAGTCTGAAAATTGGACATAAGCACAACAGTACTCTGCCCACCTGCACTTCTGAGCAACTGGCAGATCCTTAATCCATTACTGCAATGGTTCAATCTTCCAGTGCTGAAGCCCTGTTTGTTTGGCTGGCCTTGCTGGATGCATGAAGTGTGTAAATTCATGGCTTTTGGCAATTTCCAAAGGGAAGGAGAGTAACTGAGCAAAACGTGTGCATCTTTGAAATGTGAAGTTTCCGAGATTAAATTAACGATTACCAATAGTTCACCCCAAGAGAGACTTGCAACTAGGCAGCTCAACATCAAACAGATGGCGGACCAGCGTTCTGCCCCCACAAGCAAAAGATAACTATTTTTGGTAGAGCATATGGAAATTCACTGCACAGATTTTATACTGAAGCCATTGTGTGCAACAAAATGAGCACGTGATTCAGGTGCCACACACCCCAGCCTGCCACACCCTTGTTCTCACCAGCTCCAGCCCAGCAATAGCTTCATCTTCATCAGGGGGCTCCCCGATCCATCGGATCACCCCGTAGATCGGCGGATCGTTCACCTCCACCACGGAATTGATCTCCAAGAGGTGGTGGTTATACTGCTTGTCCTCCTCTTCCTCTTTGTCTTCCTCCTCCTCATCTTCTTCTTCCTCCTTCTCCCCATTTTTCTTCTTCTTCAAAACTCCCAAGTCTTTGGTCTTGTGGTCCCCCAGTTCTCTGGAAGGAGCCAAGCTTAGGGGCTCCTTGGGCGAGCACTCTTCCAGTTTGGGGGGATACTTGATGGATGAGGGGGACGGGCAATCTTCAAATTCATCTGAGGTGGGTGAAGAGGAATTGCTGGGCAAAGTCTCAGGGATTCTGTCAGCTTGTTCTTTAGAGAGGGAGAGAGAGAAACAGCAGATTACATAATCCAGCACCTCAAGCCTAAAAATATGCTTCCAATTTGGCCGCTAACCCTCCCAAGTGTGCAGTTCTGGAGTTCAGGAGAGAATCTCAACTTTAAAATGGAGGGGCAGGGAAACCTGAGCAAGTTTCTAGCCCTTAAGGGTATGCAATTGGCAATGTGGGACAATGCCTAGGAAAAATTTCGAAGGCCAACAGGAAAAGGGGAGGGGGCTGGTCTCATCGCCTGGTCCCTCTCACTAGCTGGAAGAAGAAGAATTTTGCAAAAACACAGAAAACCATCTGAATTTGCATAAAATTTATAAAATGTAACTGTCACTGGTTAATTTTGAGTGGTGTATACACAGCTTTACTGAGTTCCTGTGACTTCCGGCTGCCAAAAAGCCCCATGTAAAGATATACCTTTGCTTTACTATTGGCTGGGTAGCAATATATACTTTTTAAAAATGATGTTTGTTATCAAAATGTCATAGAACCTGACCACCTGACGCTTTTCATTATTCTATTTATTACTACTACTATTATGCAGTGGAAGACAGGAGTGCCTGGCGTGCTCTGGTCCATGGGGTCACGAAGAGTTGGACATGACTAAACGACTAAACAACAACTACTACTACTACTATTATTATTATTATGAAAAGTTGTCAAAAATTGAATAACACTTCTTAAAATCCTTTCTTAATCCCTCTGTAGCCAGCCAAGTAGTTACATGTGCCTGCTAACAAAGAAGGAGGAGGAGGAGGAAGAGGAGGAGAAGGGAAACCTCAGGCCCAAGGCTCCTCTATTTGGCCCTTGAAACTCTGCCCTCACTGGTCCCAATCTGCAATCCTGTTCAATGCCTTTGCCTGGCTGGAATTTGTCCTTGAACCCCGATTATGCCTCTTTCTTTTCCGGACAGAGGATAGGGAGGGGTTTGTGAGCATGTGTAGAAACCAGCTTGCTACACAAAGGTAAAATTAAGGTTCATTGGCCTGCCCACATTTGCCTCTCGCCCCAGCCACCACTGGGATTTATTCGTATGGCTAAACTACTGTAAGTGGTAGTGGCAGCCACAAACATTTGACAGCCTTGTCTTCCATTAAATTGCCTAGAGATTGTTATCTATGTTTAGTCTTTGTGTGAAGCAAGTTCCCAAGAGAAGCAAGGTCACTGGAATGAAGCCATGCGCATGCGTAGCTTCTCTGGGACTGAAAAGTGAAACTTATGTTCTGGAAGAGGTTTGTGACTAGCTGAAGAGTGGATCAGTGAGATTGCTGAGTAGCAGTGGATCAGTGAAGCTGTGCAGAAGCAAGGACACTCTTGATGGACGGTGGTTCTTTTGGGAGGGAGAGATAGCAATTCTCTCCAAGAGAATGTGCCTTTCTCCAAGGAAATGTTTAGGAACCTTGTATATACTGCAACCAATTAAGCTGTAAAAGCCGATATAAAAGTCATTATGTCTGACTGCTGGTCTGTCGTGTGGATTAATTGTTTTCCATCTGTGCTCCGGCATTCCACCCACACTGAGTCTCTGCTAACTGGTAACTCTGCTGGACTAGTGCCCACTGGGGAACCGTTACTGGACCCACTTGGCAGTGCATTAAGATCGGTTAAATCATAAACCCCACAGTATGCTGGGATAACCTCAGCCAGTAGAGCAGGAGACCCTTAATTTCAGGCTTGTGAGTTCAAGCCCCATGTTGGGCAAAAGATTCCTGCATTACATGGAGTTGGATTTGATGACCTTTGCGGTCCTTTCCAGATCTACAGTTCTATGAATACTAACTGATGGGATTCACAAGTGTGGAGGACGCTGCTTTTTCAGGGGTCCTGCTTCCAGGTTTCCCATAAGTATCTGGGAAGAGCACCAGACCAGAGGGACCATTCCTGGGCCCTTTTTATGCAGCCTCCAGAGGTTTGCACAGATGGAAATGAGGCCCTTGGACTGATATACCTTATTTTTCATTCTGTAAGATGCACCCGACCATAAGACGGGTTTTTAGAGGAGGAAAACACGGAAAAAAGTATTCTGAATCAAATGTTGTTGAAGTGGAAGGAGGAGGGAGGATCAGGCTAAGGCATCACAACAAGAGGAGCTGAGCAGCTCTCCCTCTTGCTGTGCTGGGTTCAACAGAGCAGTGCAAAGCCTCTTCAGCGAAGTGGGAGGAGGAACGCTCCCACTTCGTTGAAGAGGCTTTGTGCGGCTATCGCTGAAGCCAGAACAGCAAGAGGGATTGCTGCGCAGCTCTCCCTCTTGCTGTTCTGGCTTCAGTGACAGCTGCGCAGATAGCTGCATTCACTCCATAAGACGCACACATATTTCCCCTTACTTTTTAGGAGGGGGAAAATGTGTCTTATAGAGCGAAAAATACGGAAGGTCCCTCAGACCTGCTACATAAAAAACAAACAAAAAACCAGACGACATCCCAAGTACTTTCGTTATTGTACAACTCACCTTTGTGTACTTTAGAGATGGGCAGGAGTATACCATACTCAGGAGATGGGATATGGCACAGGACACGGTTTCTGAAGAGGCCATCCCAGGACCCGACTGGTTTATCCTGAATGAGACGGTGAAAAAAGAGTCTAGGGTCTCTGGACTGGCTGCTATCCCCGTCCCCTAATCACCACGTGGCACACCTGGGGTGGGTGCTAAGGCGGACATTGCCAGCATCTGCAAAGGGCCCACACATAACAGAAAGCCCATGGATGAGAGCCCCCAGGCTTGCTGTCATGGGGAGGTAGACTTACGGAAGGGCTTGGTGAATCCATGGGGAGTGTCTTGGGCCTTCAAAACCTGGAGCCAACACTGGGCATACCCAGAACAGTAGGTTGGAGTGAGGCGTGGAGGCCAGGGTAAGGAATTGAGGGAACACAAGAATCTGCCTTACTGAAGTGTTCCTCTTCCTTTCCTGCCTCCTTTCCTTTGTGTGCCATGTTTTGCCTGTGGGTGAGGCCTGTCTTGTTCTGACGGCACGTAAACTGCTCTGGGAGCCTTTTTGAGTTGAACAGCAGGGTACAAATGCTCTAAATCTGTGAGGAACCCTGTTTTTTCAAAAGCCAAGCCATGGACCCCCTACTTTTGACAACGTTGATATTTCTATGGTAGTTTTTGTTATGTGAACGGTGCCATGGACCCCCCTGGGTGGGTTATGCAGTCGCCCTGGGATCCACGGAGCACCAATTGGGAGCCACTGCACTAAATCAATCCATTAATACTGAATCAGAACAACAGGTCCATCTAGTTCAGTACTGTCTGGACTGACCGGAAGTGCTTCTCAATAATTCCAGACAGGGAATTTTTCTCAATCTCACCTGAAGATGCCATTAATTGAACCATGGATTTTCTGCATACAAAGTAGATGCTCTACCAATGACCCAGGACTCAGGGGCGGACGAGACACAAGAAGCCATCACTAAACATGTTTCCTGAAGCACCAGGAGATTTAAAGCATGTTGGCCAGCTTTAACATGGGAATAACTAACCAACAAAGGTCCGTATAGTAAAAGCTATGGTTTTTCCAGTAGTGATGTATGGAAATGAGAGCTGGACCATAAGGAAGGCTGATCGCTGAAGAATTGATGCTTTTGAATTATAGTGCTGGAGGAGACTCTTGAGAGTCCCATGGACTGCAAGAAGATCAAACCTATCCATTCTTAAGGAAATCAGCCCTGAGTGCTCCCTGGAAGGACAGATCCTGAAGCTGAGGCTCCAATACTTTGGCCACCTCATGAGAAGAGAAGACTCCCTGGAAAAGACCCTGATGTTGGGAAAGATGGAGGGCACAAGGAGAAGGGGACAACAGAGGACAAGATGGTTGGATAGTGTTCGCGAAGCTACCAGCATGAGTCTGACCAAACTGCGGGAGGCAGTGGAAGACAGAAGTGCCTGGCGTGCTCTGGTCCATGGGGTCACGAAGAGTCGGACACGACTAAATGACTAAACAACAACTAACCAACAGCATTTATAAGGTCACAATGCCCATCATCCCCGACTTTTAACTCACTTTGGGGGATTTAGTACTCAAAATGGGTGTGAGATTAAATATTCCTTGCAGTATGGAGAGTGGGTTCCTTCAGCCTGAACCCCCCCCCCCAATTCCTCTTTCTGCCTCCCAGCAGAGGGCAGTAGAGAAGGGTTGACGCCTCCTTACCAAGTGTATCCCCACGAACACCCCAGTCTCCTGTTTCTTGGGGAGGTAGTCGCAGTACACCACCGTGCCGGTGGGGGTGATGTCATCCATCTTGAAGAAAACACGGTCCCCAATCTCCAGTTCCGGAGTAGACAAGGGATCTCCCGTCGTCAGCTGGATCCGCGTGCATTCCCGGGCGCTGCCTCTCGGGGGCGCCGGTGGGCTGCCTTCGGGCAAGTCATCCGGCTCAATCCGGTTGACAGGGACAAAGACTCCACAGTTCTCCCGGCAGGAGAAGAACTTGTGGCCTTTGAAAGTGCCGTCGGTGAAACCCTTCCCGGCTGCTGAGCCCTACAAAAGTCAAGGAACAGAGCTCATCTCAAAGGTGCTCCCTCCTTTATTTCTCCCCACCCCTATTTTATCCTCACCACAACCCTGTGAGGTAGGCTAGGACAACAGACCACAACTGGCCCAATATCACAAAGTGAACTGTGTGGCCAAAGAAGGATTTGAACATGGGTCTCCCCAATGCTCTGAGAACATATTTTCTTCCATATAATTCCTTCAGCGTTCCCTACACCATTTCCCTTTTCTTGTGTGAGAGAAAGAGCTATACAGGTTGAAGCTATGCATGTGAAATCCTTTTTGTGTTTGTTGTTTTTTGCAATTATACTTTGCCGACTGAGTTCAACGTTGAAATAAATTAGGACAATGTGGGGCAAGAAACAGATGGGCAGATAAAGCTGTGGTGCCCGTGTGTGTGTGTGTGTGTGTGTGTGTGTACAGGTCTTATCTTCCTTGGAAGAAGGAACTAGAAGCCTGTGTGCTAAGGAGAGAATATATTCTTTTCTCCCCCCCTCCCAAATTTTTAAATTAATTTTCACAAAATTATAAACAAACAAAAAAACACATATCATAATCTTATTAAAAATTATACTTATTAACATTGTTAAGTGACTTCCACGCTTCCCCTTTGTTGAATTTCCATGCATATCCATTTAACGGTTTTCCAAAAAGGAGAGAACATATTCTGCAAAAACAAACCTGCTAACGGACTCCACAGAAGATGCCCTTCCCATCAACTCACCACAAGCTCAACGCCAAAGATGATGCTGGTATTGTGCTTGCTCTTGTCTATGGGCCCACGGTATCGAATGATGCCTCGAACTTTCTTCCCGGAGGCGGAAGTGATCTGGACCCTGACTTGGTCTCCCTCCCGGAGAACACTGAGCCGCTGCATCAACTGCTCCTTCTTGAACAGCGCAAGGCGCTCATCTCCGTTGGTCACAGCTTCCAGGAGTCCAGAACAGGCGCCCGTCAGTTCCACGGCTACCCGTGGAGGCAGCAGAACCACTTTCTCCGTATCCATGACCCTGACCCAGAAAGTTCCATCTGGCGATGCCCCACGGCCATCCTCTAGGCACAGCAGGCTGCCTCTGGCCACCTTGACCTCCCGCCCTGCCTTGCTGGGCCCCGCAAAACTTTTCACAGCAATTAAGAGTTGCCGGGGCTTCATTGCTGCTGCAGAGGTGAGAGACAAATCAATTGCCTGTGTGAGGAGAAAGGAAAAAGAACAAGACAGTTTATTAACTACAGTATTCCCTCTATTTCTGACATTCTTGCCATGAGTAGGGCTGGGCGATATCTGGTTTTCAACATTGCGATATCTCACCAGCTAAACATCGCCCACCCTGTGGAACGCCCTCCCATCAGATGTCAAGGAAATAAACAACTACAGTGGTACCTCGGGTTAAGAACTGAATTCGTTCCGGAGGTCCATTCTTAACCTGAAACTGTTCTTAACCTGAGGTACCACTTTAGCTAATGGGGCCTCCTGCTGCCGCCACACCGCCGCCACACGATTTCTGTTCTCATCCTGAAGCAAAGTTCTTAACCCGAGGTACTATTTCTGGGTTAGCGGTGTCTGTAACCTGAGGCGTCTGTAACCTGAAGCACCTGTAACCCGAGGTACCACTGTATCTGACTTTTAGAAGACATCTGAAGGCAGCCCTGCTTAGGGAAGTTTTTAATATTTGAGGTTTTATCATATTATTATTATTATTATTATTATTATTCTATTGGGAGCCACCCAGAGAGGCTGAGGAAACCCAGCCAGATGGGCAGGGTATAAACAATAAATTATTGTTGTTATTATCATCGCATTATACCGATATATCACAATGTCTGAAATAAGGATGGAGCTATGTAGAGGCATTGGCTGGCTTCACGGTTTTCCCCACATTGTGATTTTTTGCATAACACACAAACACACAGAGAGAGAATCATAGTACTGTAGAATAGCAGAGTTGGAAGGGAACACGGGGGTCATCTAGTCCAATGCCCTGCAATGCAGGAATCTTTTGCCTAACACGAGACTTGAACCTGCAACCTTGAGATTAAGAGTCTCATGTTCTGTGTACTGAGCAGCAATAATCTGTTTAGGTGAAGAGGAAGATCCACGTCGTGATTCGCGGTATATTGCCAGGTCAAAAATTATGAAACCGGTATCACTATATGGACTTCAAACCGGTTTTGGGAAACGAGTGCTGTTCATTGTGCAACACCAAAAGAAAGGACTACCAGGCTTAAAAGGAACTGCAAGGCTTTCAGAAGTACAGGCTTAGAGGAACAGCATCTGCTCTGTGTGCAGAAGTTCCCAGGTTCATTCCCTGAAAACTCTAGGTAGGGTTGGGACAGACCCCACCCCCTGTCTGAAAACCTGGAGCGCTGCTGCCAGTCAGTGTAGACTGAGCTAGGTGGACCAATGGTCTGACTCAGTAGGAGACAACTTCCAATGTACCTATATAAGGAATCTTCAAGGGGGGCCCCTAAAGCCAACAAACTACAGTACAGTGGTACCTCGGGTTACAGACGCTTCAGGTTACAGACTCCACGAACCCAGAAATATTACCTCAGCTTAAGAACTTTGCTTCAGGATGAGAACAGAAATCGTGCTCCGGCGGTGCGGCAGCAGCGGGAGGCCCCATTAGCTAAAGTGGTGCTTCAGGTTAAGAACAGTTTCAGGTTAAGAACGGACCTCCGGAACGAATTAAGTTCTTAACCCGAGGTACCACTGTACTCTGGTTTTGGGGTTGGGGAAGGGAGACATACTCAAAACAGCCCTAGGTGCAATGCAGTGGTCATTTGAAATGGCAGTATTTTTACCCCTATTATCCACCCCAGGGTGGATAAAAATCGTTGATTTTTAAAAATAAAAAAATCAGATTTGTTTCATTTAAATCAGATTTTTTAAAATTTAAATTGGATTTTTAAAATAAAATGCTTTTGGAGGAAAAATCTTTCCAAAGATAGTTTTCTATTTAAGTTACATTATAGTCCATCAGGAAATAAGGATTTGTTTTAAGTTTTTCATGTGTGCTAAAACTTCTTCTAAGTGTTGTTGTTTTTAAAAAATTGTTTGACCACATCAGTTAACAAGCATGGATACATACGCTATAATGTTATTGTTTTAGTTAAATAAATTGTTCCTAAGGAAGTGATTATTTTTCTCCTTCCAAAAAAGTGCAGCAGAAAAGTTGCCCAAATATAAACAGTTAACTTATTAAACCTCACAATAATTTCATAATTATCTATGTATTTCTTATAGTATAACAAAATCAGTAATTTTTTATTTAACTGTAAAAAGCACTCTGAAAATTTATTATTCCAAAAATGAAACCTTCATCTGGTTGTAAATATTAAGATTACACCAGCAAGAATAAGTCTTTCTGTAAAAAAGAAATGATTTTAATCAAGTGTTACTGACTAGTGATTTAAATCAATCTGATTTAAATCAAATCCACACCATTTGGACATTTGGGGGCTGTCCCTAAAACCATGGAATCTAGTCACCCATTCTATAGTGTACTGTTTTCAGTGGGACTTACATCTGAGTAAGTATATTTTTAGATTTATTTATTTTATTCCATTTTACATACACCTCCCACCAACCAAGGAACTCAAGGGGCTATACAGTGGTACCTTGGGTTAAGTACTTAATTCGTTCCGGAGGTCCGTTCTTAACCTGAAACTGTTCTTAACCTGAAGCACCACTTTAGCTAATGGGGCCTCCTGCTGCTGCCACGCCGCCGGAGCACGATTTCTGTTCTCATCCTGAAGCAAAGTTCTTAAACCGAGGTACTATTTCTGGGTTAGCGGAGTCTGTAACATGAAGCGTATGTAACCCGAGGTACCACTGTACGTGGTTCCCGCTTTTCAGTTTATCCTCACAACAGCCCTGTGAGGTTAGGCTGAGAGATCATGACTGGGCCAAGGCCACCTAGAGACCTTCATGCCTGAGTGGGGATTCAAACCCTGGTCTCCCAGGTCATCGTCCAACGCTCTAACCACTATACCACACTGGCTCCAGAATGCTGGGCTCTGGGTGTATAAAAACGCCCAGGACCCTTGCAAATTACCAACGGCATATACACAGAGACACCTCCCACCCTTTGCTCACACCCACACCAAACCTTTATAGCATATGGATACCCCCCCAAACAATATTGGGAACTGCAGTTTGTTAAGGGAGCTGGGAATTGCAGCCCTGTGAAGTGTAAACTAGAGTTCCCATGATACATTTGGGGAAGGTGTGTGCTTTAAATGTATGCTGTGGATGTGACCTGTGCTTTTCTGGTTTAGGACCAGGTTTCCTGAAGCACCAGCCTTCCCCAACCTTGTGCCCTCCAGATTAGAACCGAAGCAGTGTGAATGACCCAAGCACAAACAGTATTGAAAGCTGGGAGGTATGTGACTTCCCCATTAGCATCATGAGCACAAATAATCATAAACTTGCAATCAAAACAACATTTGGAGGGGTCTTCTCTCTACCACTTTCTGTGTTCAAACATACCTTAAAGCTGGAACACCTTTAATTGAACCAGGGTATTGGCCTATACTTGTTGCCATACTGGATCCAGTATATGCAAATAAGATATATTTTATTTATATTGGCATTTGCATACCAAGTTATATGCACAGATGATTAATATATTTTTCACTCCCCTGCGCCTTTAGAATTAAATTGCAGACTTTTCTAACCCACGGATAAAGTAAAATAGAAAGAGAGGAAGAGGAAATAAACGCCCCAAGAAATAAATTAGTCAAACTCAGGAATTTCCCTGTCAACACCCTGTTTCCTTCCTTCCACCACAGGATTGCAAACTTTAGAAACCACCCCTTTTAAAAACAGCTTGAATCTAAAGACTCATAAGCCTCATCAACTTTGTCTCCCTAAAAACTTTACTTGGCTGTAAGCTCTGCACCAAACTGTAACAGGAGCAAGCCAGGTTGGCTTTTGTCTGGTCAGTTGGCAATCGCATGGCCCTCAAAGTTCTTAGCCACCGTGTTATTCCTCCATGCATGCATATTTCTTAATTTCTGAAAGAATGCAAAGGTTACCAGGCTTTAGGCCTAATTAAAAATCACCCCCGAGGACTACCTTGCATTCAACACCCGCTGTGGAATGTCCCGATCTGCGAGCCCTGGGAGACACTCTGCACGTGCTCAGATGCCTTCCTCACATCCCAAGACGTTCCCATCACGGCTAAGCCGCTGGCAGACACTGACCCACGAGCGCAGACACCCCCCGACCTGGTGAGCCACTTACAGGTTGCAAAAGGGAAACAAAAAGGAAATATTCGCTTTCCGAAACAAGTTAGCATTTGAAAACAAACAAAAACAAACGTATAGATAAGCAGATTCTTGCCTATGTCCAAAAATCAGCAAGTCAAAGGCTGCCCCAAATGCAAACTCACCTCTCCCCTTCAGCTCCTACCTGGAGGCGGTGACTTAACTTTTTCAAGCGCATGCAACAAGATTTCCCCCTACTGATGTTGGAACCACGTTTAAGGAAGTTGCCTCTGCTTTTAAAGGGGCGGAAGGTGAGAGCCAATGGGAAGCGACGCGAAAGGGAAAGGCGACCAATCGGAGCGGAGATTGGTGGGGGGGAATAGAAGCAGATGTAAACGAGGAAGGAGAGAGATTAATGATGTTGGGGATGGGTGGAGCTTAGCTGAGGCTGAAAGTAGCTTTAACATCACCTCTGTACCCTGCTATATATGGATAATGGCGGATAAATATGACTTGTCTCCCACCTTTCATCAGAAAGTTCCAGGGCGGCTTACAGCAAAATACAGCATTAAAAACAGTTTAAAATTATAATCACAACTGGTGGGAGACAAGCCATCATCACCCAGAAGTTCGTATAAATTTACAGTTCATCGTGCCAACTTCAACTGGTTGGTGCTGTTTTGATAAAATCTTGCTTAAATGGGCAGCAGTAGGCAAGCTTAGCTATCCTACCCCTCCTTCTGTTTGGTTGGCAACCTCAGTTTAGACCTATTTTTACTGCCACTAGTTGCTGTAGTGAAGTGTTAAGTGCAGCTTGTATATCTGAACATAAGCGGAAGATTCATTGGTTTTGGAGGAAATATTTTGCATAGGTCTATATATAGCTTGTATATCGTCTTTTTCCTTTATTTTCTCTCAGTTTTCTGTTTAAAAATGCTTGATACTTGATGCTAACTATTTTTAGTTAGGTAGTCGTGTTGGTCTGACGCAGTTGGAAAAAATAAAAAAATTGTCCACTAGCACCTTAGAGACCAACTAAGTTTGTTCTTGGTATAAGCTTTCGTGTGCATGCACACTTCTTCAGATACCAGATACTGTTTTTTCTTTGTTTTTCAAGCTTTAATTTTTATATGTATATAAAAAGCTTACATTTATAAAAAGGAGATTCGTTGCTTTTGTTCCACTGTTGCACTCACTGATTTCTTCTTCCCAGCCAACAGGACCAAAAGCCAGCGATGATGGGAGTTGAAGTCCAAAACTACTTAGAATATGTAACTTTGTGTGAGTAGCTATACGCCTCAATTTTCGCTAGAGGGCAGGAAAGGTTAAGGAATCTGGAAATCCAGAAAATTTCACTGTATTTCACCTGTAGTTTCCAGGCTGGTGCTAAGGCTAACTGCTCACCCGGTTCTAATTGAAAACAGCAATTTGGAGTTCCAGCAGATAAATTCTCTTTTGTTTCTTCAACCTTGCTTAGCCACTCCTTCGCTTAAGCGTGTGCGTTTGATGCTGTTTTATACAGAAATAGAAACTATTCCTTCCATCAGGAGGCAGCAAGTGTGCAGGTCAATATTCAGAGGCGGGGGGTGCCTTGTTTTCTTCAGTACCCCCCTCCCTCCTGCCCACCTTTCCCCTTTCTTCTTCTGTCCCAATTTCTAAAATGAAAAGTTCCTTAGAACACCCTACTCAGAATTAACTCTATTCTAGCACATCATAAAGGGACACGGGTGGCGCTGTGGGTTAAACCACAGAGCCTAGGACTTGCCGATCAGAAGGTCGGAGGTTCGAATCCCCGTGACGGGGTGAGCTCCCGTTTCTCGGCCCCTGCTCCTGCCAGCCTAGCAGTTCGAAAGCACATCAAAGTGCAAGTAGATAAATAGGTACCACTCCAGCGGGAAGGTAAACGGTGTTTCCGTGCGCTGCTCTGGTTCGCCAGAAGCGGCTTAGTCATGCTGGCCACATGACCCGGAAGCTGTACGCCGGCTCCCTCGGCCAGTAAAGCAAGATGAGCGCCCCAGAGTTGGGCGTGACTGGACCTAATGGTCAGGGGTCCCTTTACCTTTACCTAGCACATCATGGTTTCATATTTTCAGGGCATGGCACAGTGACTATGTGCCTCTAAGTAACACTTGCTGGGCATGACCATGCTTGCAGGATTACTAGAAGTATCTGAAAGCCTGTGTAAGGTAGTAGCTTCAGCTCTGGGTGAGGCCTGGTGGTGGGAGCCAAGTTCAAATTCCCACTCAGCCTTAAAGCTCCCACTGGGTTATCTTGAGCCACTAACCCATTTCACAGGGTTGTTATGAGGATAACATTGGGGGGGGGGGGGGCAGAACATATACAGTGGTACCTCGGGTTACATACGCTTCAGGTTACAGACTCCGCTAACCCAGAAATAGTACCTCAGGTTAAGAACTTTGCTTCAGGATGAGAACAGAAATCGTGCTTCAGCGGCGCGGCGGCAGCAGGAGGCCCCATTAGCTAAAGTGGTGCTTCAGGTTAAGAACAGTTTCAGGTTAAGAATGGACCTCCGGAATGAATTAAGTACTTAACCCGAGGTACCACTGTACACTGTCTTGAGCTCTTTTTCTTGGAGAAGAAAAGCAGGATATAAATGAAACAAGTTAAAATCTGGCTGAACACTCTTGCTGAAGGCTAGAACAGGCTAGAACAGATGGACGATGGAGAGGAGGGCTCAGCCAGATCTAATTTGGACCACTAGCCTACTGTACAGGGTTGCCAGTCAGATGATAGGTTTGTAGAAAAAGGGAGCGTGTTCAGACCATATTGGAATGAAAGGATACAGGAGGTACCATAGCTCCATGTAAGGTGGTAAGGGAGATATAGGCTTAAGTATACGGGAACTTTGACTATATATGGAATATGCATTGCCAGTTTGTGTAGACCAGAGATGGATGGAGTCCTCCAGAAGCTGCTGGATTGAAGCTCTTAATTTAGCCGGACCATTGACCATGCTGACTGGGGCTGGTGGTTCCACAGGCTCCCCATTCTTGCTGAAACTGAGCTAGGTGAGCCCTTAGTCTGATTCCCTAAAAGACACCAGGCTGTGTTCATTTCTGGGGAAGAATCCTTGGTGAGCTTCTAACAAACCCCATCTTTTTCTGGGAAATATTTTTTTGGGGGAAAATATGTACAATTAAAAACAAACTTAATTGGGCCACATTGCACAAATCCCAGTCACAGATCATCAGGGCTGTGTGATCACGCTGCTGAGAACTGCTACAATCATTTGTATTGACAAACTCTGGATTTCAGAGTTTGTTTTTAATGATTATCTTTACAAAAACAGCGTTGTTCAGCTCCAAGCAGGGCACGTTGTGAACCCTGACTCTTGTCTCCCTTTTACTTTGATTGAGCCAGGAAGAAAAGTACGAACTGTCTATTCCTCTAAAAGCGAAATTGGTGTAACTCCCTATTTTATTTTATTTTTTAAAAACTTCCCCAGGGCCCATCCCTTTAAATAGTTCCCCTGTCGATCTGTCCATCTCCATGTAAGTAGGACAAGAATCAGTTCTGGTGGTCAAATCCCCTGTGTTTTGGCCAGCCCTGATAAAGCCATTCTATAAAGAGGCAATGTGGTGTAGTGGTTGGGGTGTGGAGTGCAGGAGGCCAGGGTTCAAATCTCTACCTGGCCATGAAGTTCACTAGATGACCTTGGGCCAGCTGCTGTCTCTAAGCTACAGTTTCCCAAACTTGGGTCTCAAGCTGTTTTTCAACTGCAACTCCCATCACCCATAACTAGCAGGACCAGTGGTCAGAGATGATGGGAACTGTGGTCCGAAAACAGCTGGAGACCCAAGTTGAACTTACCATAGAGGGTTGTTGTGAGAATAACATAGAGAGGGGGAAAACTAGGTGTTGTGCTCCACCTTCCACCTTGAGCACTAGGGAGGAAAGGTAAGGTGAGATATACACGTGGTAATAATAATAGTAGTAGTAGTAGTAGTAATAAGGGTATTACCGAACTGTGGATTTTGGAGATTTTTTTTAAGAGCTATCTTTGCTCTTTAAGGGATCATTCTCTCATTCTTTCTTTCCATTCAAGCCATCAGAAAAATATGTGGTGGAAGCCCTGGGATTGCCTGGCTTGTTTAAAAGAACTTTGAAAAAGGAGGAGGAGGAGGAGGAGGAGGAGGAGGAGGAGGAGGAGGAAAGAAAGAAAGAAAGAAAGAAAGAAAGAAAGAAAGAAAGAAAGAAAGAAGACAGGAGACAGGGGGATTTCACTGAGAAACAGTTTCCGTGTCTGGCTGCTGGGAATGCAAAGTTTTTATAGAGTAGGCAGACAGATGTTGGACTGACACTGAAAATCAGTGGGGGCTGTGAAAGCTTTCTGGGGTTCATTTGGCAGGGCCAGAAAGACAGGAGTTGCAGCATCATTGGAGACGATGCTGAGAAGTTCTAAGCCCCCCCTCCAAAGTCCAGCTTGGAGCAGGAGCTAGGAAAAGATTTCAAACTTGTCCCGCCCTGTGCGCTGCGCTTTGGCCTAACTCTGCACGCTAACAGAGGGATGGTTTTGATTAAGTTAAGGAAGCAGAAGAAAAGAGTGGGCGGGGGGAGGGAGAGAAGGAGGACACGTGCTTTGGCCTGGGACATCTCTCTGTTTTTGCAAAGGCCACATGCGTCACTCTCCCTCGTGGGCCATGGAAATGGGAAACGAAAGAATGTTAACCCCTTGGAGTGTGGACTGATGGGGAACCTGGGGAGCTGGCTTGCCTGGGTAGAAGATGTAGGCGGCTTCACAGGGTTTTGCTCTAGGGGAAGAGGGGCAGTTGGGATTGCAAGAGTGGGGCCTGTCGATCTGGAATGGGGTACACATTCAATTTTGTTTGCATCTCAGTGAGAAACTACCTAATTTGAACTTCTCGAACCAATATGTGAACCAAAACGCAAGCGGCCTTTGAAATTCACCGCCCCTCTGAATTTTGCAATGCAGTTCTCCAAGTACTGTGTACAGAAAAGTACATATATTAGGAGAAAGTGTGCATAAGAATGCATTCATTTGTGAAAGTAATATACCAAAGCATACAGTTTTGCAAAAATGTGTATATCAATCTAAACTCCATACAAAAATGTGAATGAATGAATTTATTAATATGGTCACAGACCAGCGCCAACACACACAACATCACAGATCATAAAAAATATATATAAAAAATACAAAGGACAATATAACAAGCATTTAAATATAAAAAATTAAAATTAATTATTAGCATGCCCCCAGCTATCAACACTTGGGGGTTTGGTCACCATGGGATACCACTTGCTTCCTGCGACTAATTGCAGCCGCACAGAATTTGGCTACATTTAATGTAGTCTTGGGATTCTTGTCCTCTAGCAGCGGTTCCAAACCATGGTGTTCCGACTCCTTCCCGGACTTCCGCAAAACAGGAGCAATAAAAGTCGAACGTATGTCCTCATAAAGACGACAACGCAACAGTACATGTGCAAAAATGTGCATATTAGGAGAAATTTGTACCAAAATACTGGCAGGTGTTCATTGGGTTTTTAAAAATTGCAGTTTGGTAAATTTCTGCAGAAATGTAGAGAAGAAAATTTAAGAATGGAAGAATGAGAAGGAAGAGAGAAACCAAAACTGACAAAATCATCAAGTCCTAATCTGAAGCAATGAAGATTGCATTTGGTGTCTGCGCCAAAGATCAGAGTTTTATTGGGAGGAACTCACTATGATGAACTCCAGAACTACTTTTGAAAAGCAGCTTTTGCCCATCCCACTTGCTCTGATCAGTGTCACATTCCAATGACAAGAGAGAGATTCCCAGCCAGTTAAAGAACGCACTAAGGGCTGCCACAGGGAGCAGGGAGCAAGCTTGTTTTCTCCTGCTCTGGAGGACTTGAACCAATGGTTTCGAGTTGCAAGAAAGGAGATTCCGACTAAACATTCGGAAAAACTTTCTGACAGTAAGAGCTGTTCAGCAGTGGAACAGACTCCCATGAGAGGTGGTGAACTCACCTTCCTTGAAGGTTTATAAACAGCGGTTGGATATCTGCCATGGATGCTTTAGCTGAGATTCCTGCATTGCAGGGGGCTGGACTAGATGACCGTTGGGGTCCCTTCCAACTCTAAAATTCTATGATTCTGTCCCTGCCAAGTTAGTTGTCCAGTAACCTGGACGGTAATTATCACCATTTATTTGTATGGCACTTTCCTATGGAAAACCATACCCAAAGCAGTTCACAACATCAAGAAACATTACATTCATTAACAATTATAGGTTGCCTAGTGTTGGACTAGAAGCTGGGAGTTGACACATAAACTACGTGAGGACGACAATCGTGACTTCAAGGAAGATTGGGAACTTTTTACAAACTATTTTAAAAAACAAGAAAATGATTTGGACTCCTTGGCAGGTTTTGAATAAACATCCACAAATTTATTAATAGAATATATGATAACTAAGGTAATGATACGTACAATTTTAAACAAATCAGAGAGGGGAGCTGAGGGAAGTCCTTGGTGGGGGGGAAAGGGAGGGATGGGGGGAATAAAAGGGGGGGGAATGTAATTGATTATAGTGGTACCTCGGGTTAAGTACTTAATTCGTTCTGGAGGTCCGTTCTTAACCTGAAGCACCACTTTAGCTAATGGGGCCTCCTGCTGCTGCCGCGCTGCCGGAGCACGATTTCTGTTCTCATCCTGAAGCAAAGTTCTTAACCTGAAGCATTATTTCTGGGTTAGCGGAGTCTGTAACCTGAAGCGTATGTAACCTGAGGTACCACTGTATTTGGAATGATAATTTGTTTTGTTGAAATGGTCTAATAAAAATATTTTTTTAAAAAGAAGCAGCTGGGATACCAGGGCTCAAATCCATACTCAGCCATAGGAATGTCTATGAGTTCAGTTGCCTTGTACAGATGGATCCTTACCTTGGTTTCACCCAACAGACAATGGGTTAGTCAGGGAAGTGACAAAAGAATGCCAGTGATCCTTAATGACTGGGGATGCCTTTGTTAGTGACCTGGAACTCTTGCTCCCCTGCCTTTGGAATGTGACACTAATCAGAGCTAGTGGGAGGGGCAGTGAAATATTTTATTATACCAAGTCTGAAGAGGAGAGAGAGAGAGAGAGAGAGTTAGTTCTGAGTCAAGCTGGACTTGATGCATCGGTAGCAGGATTGTGGTGGTACAAACTGTTGCTCTTGGGGGGCGGGAATCATATTCAGGATCAGCAATATTGCTGCCTGCTATAGGTGTCTCTTGCTTCCAGTATGCTCTGCCTGCACATTTGTATATAACGCCAATATTACAAGTTGAGCATCTCTCACCACTCCAGAGCTGGAATCCAAGAACATGTGGGGAAGTCACAAACTCCCCATCCTTGTAATGGTCTATTCTGGTCCTTCTCTCTCTCTCTCTCTCTCTCCCCCCACCCCCCGTTTATCCCAGCTTCCACTTCCTTCCTCCTTCCTTCGTAGTTTCTTTGCTACAAAACTTTAGACTGCAGTCTCCTTGAGGCAGAGACCTGTTCCATTGTATTCTGCACAAATAATAATAAGGCTGAGCTGTGCATACCTGCCAGATTTCAGTTTGAGCAGGGTCTTAGTGTTTAAAGGTAAAGGGACCCCTGACCATTAGGTCCAGTCGTGACCGACTCTGGGGTTGCGGCACTCATCTCGCTTTATTGGCCGAGGGAGCCGGCGTACAGCTTCCGGGTCATGTGGCCAGCATGACTAAGCCGCTTCTGGCGAACCAGAGCAGTGCACAGAAACGCCGTTTACCTTCCCGCCGGAACGGTACGTATTTATCTACTTGCACTTTGACGTGCTTTCAAACTGCTAGGTTGGCAGGAGCTGGGACCGAGCAACGGGAGCTCACTCCGTCACGGGGGATTCGAACCGCTGACCTTCTGATCAGCAAGTCCTAGGCTCTGTGGTTTAACCCACAGTGCCACTCTTCTTCTAACATCAAACCCAGGCACAGCCAGAGGTAGATCCATATGGGTTTGGGGGACAAGGCCAGTATCTGAGGGAGGCCCCTAGAATTTTATATCCGGGACAAAGCACTACATATAAGCTGACTTCAAATAAACGGCTTTTGCAACGACTGCTCCTAAGGCAACAGATTAAATATAAAACCCAGCCAGACCCGTATTCTTCCCCTAGTAAATTCCCCTAGTCCAGGAAGTGGCAGTGCCTCTGAGCACACAGAGTACCATATCCCATCTCCAGGCATTTAAGATAATGGGGTGAGCTTAGATTCTAAGTGTAGTGTTGGAGGAAAAGAAGCCTTCACCAGAATACTACCTTCCGGATGTTTTGGATGCAACTCCCACCAGCCTCAGCCAGCACAACCATAGTAATCCAAAATAGCTGGAGGGAACCAGGATGGCAGAAACTGGGTTAGAACAGGTTGGACCAGGACCTGGCCTGGCTCAAATCACCTGCTCAGTGTCAAATCTCAGTGGGTGACCTTGGGCCTCCTAATCTTACCGAGTTGTCATGATAATAAAATGGGGGCCCGGGAGCAACCATATTGCACTGTCCTGTGTTCCTTAAAGGAATGGCAGGACGAAACCCAAAATAAACCATTTTAAAGAGGTAGTTTCAACATTGTCAAGAACAGATCCCCACAAGAATGTGTTTTAAGCAGACTCAATGCCCACTGAAAACGCATGACTTCCAAATAATCCCGGAAGCTGCAGCTTTTTAAGGGTAGTTCAGTGAGGAGGAACTGCAGCTCCCAGGATTCTCCGTGCTTTAAATGCGTGTCGACTTGTTCTGACGTTCATGTTTTGGATAACACCTATGCAAGCACCAAACACGCAGCTTTCCGGGTTGGGAAGTGGGGTGGGTTGAAATCCACGTTATGTTCCAAATGTTGAGTTTTGGAGCATCAAAATATCCGGAGCTGCATATAGGCAGCTGCACCATTCTTTCGTGTGCTCATATAGGCTCTGTCACCCGCTCCCTGCATGGTTGAAAAAAAACTGGCTTCGCGCACACCGCACACGCTATAATCAGAATAATCGCAGCGTAGCTCTCAGCAAGCGCAACGCGTCCCTCTGCCTTTAACAGCCTGTCTGGGTGTGTCCAACCCGTGCATAATAAGCAGCCTAAGGAGGGCGGGCCCTGCTTGGGCTGCCTTCCAATGGGCTCCAGGTAGGCTGGTCCATCTGGAAGGACAAGAAAGGGGGTGGAGGAGGTGGTTCCTTTTTCATTTTCTCGGGGAGCGTGAGATGGGGGATTATAGAACCCCCCAGTTCGGGTTCTCTCCCCCCCTCCCCTCTCCCCTTCTTGGTGGGCGTGGCTTAAAGTGACATATGGGGGCATGGTTTGTGTTTTCCGAAGAGCCAATCAGCAGTGAGGAAGGGAGTGGGAGGGGGGCAGCTGGAGGAGAGGGAAAAGTTTGTTTGGGGAAAGTTTTTCTTTATTTTTTTGTTAAAAAAATATTAAAGGGGGAGAAGGCGCGGAAAGAGGTATTGCGTTAAAAGTGGGAGAGCAGAGGTGAATCGAACCAAAACCTCCTCCATCCAGCCCCCCATTTTTTTGAGGGGTGGGGGGAGAAGGAAGGGGCTTGCAACCCTATTAGGCTGCATCCACCGATTCTCCCCCACCCCCTGGAAAAAATGGGCGCAGCGAACTGCGAAGACGAGGACTTAGAATTCAAGCTGATTTTTGGAGAAGAAGAAAAGGAACATCCAGGAATGGGAGTCCCCTTGGAAGGTGAGATGCGGGTTGTTATGGGGGATTGTGATGGTTGGTTACAAGGAGGGAGGTGTGAGAATATGTGGGGCGGGGGGAAGAATCAAGGGGTTTTTTGTGCGTGTGTCTGGTGTAGCTGGAAAAAGTCCCCCCTCCCTTTCCTTTTTAGGACAACTGGGGAGGGAGATGGCACGAATGTTCCCATCTCCCTGCAGGAAGAGTGTGTGTTTTTTTGCTCCGAGAGTGAGTAATCGAATCCCTAAAACACGCGGCCCACGCAAATGGTTAATACTATTTGCAATCATTTTAAAGATGGGTGTTGCGTTTCTGCCCATGCTGGTGAGGAAAGTGCGTGAGTGAATGAGAGAAGAAATCGGTCTCGAGTTTCACACACGCCCCAATCATGCTTCTGTGAAAATTGTGGAATCGGAAAACTTTCAGGTTGCACTGAACTCTGCATAGAATGTGGGGGGTTTTTTTGGGGGGGTGGAGCTTCTGAGTTCTTGGGACCAATAACTGGTTAACCCTTTTATTATAATAATACAGAAAATTGTTTTGATCAAAAAGAGTTAATGCGTGTGCTGCTATGTGTGGAAACTGTGAGCTGGAAAATCTTTGGTTCAAATTGTGGTTTAGCTGTGAACACATTGGATAATCTGAAACAATGATGGAGGCTGCGTGGCCCACATGATGTTACTGGATGATTATTGGTGTGTTTTTCAAATTTATTTTTTACCCTCTGTCCACCCTAGGGTCCCTATTTTAAATTTTAAAAACAGCTGATAAAATTTACAACCAGAAAACTAGCACAAGTCCTAAAGATCTGCATCCTAAGTGTCAAAAGACCAGTTTGAAGTGGACTGCAGCTCAGACCATTGGCCTTGCAATGGCTGATGGTAGCTTGAGTCCAGCCATATCTAGAGCAGAACTTGGGTCTCCAGCTGTTTTCGCACTACAACTCCCATCATCCTTAACTAGCAGGACCAGTGGTCAGAGATGGTGGGAATTGCAGTCCAATAACAGCTGGAGGCCCAAGTTTGGGAAACACTGAGGGCCACAGGGTCCCCACACCTGGCCCAGTGTGACCTAGGATTTCCTAGCCTTGGCCACAGTGCGTGAAATGGTTGCCTATCTTATAGGGTTGTTGTAAGTACCACTGAGCTCCTCTACATTAGCTGCAGTTAAGTCAGTGGTGGTGAACCTGGGGGTCTCCTTCCCTTTGGGACAACTTTCCCCAAGCCATAGGCAAGTCATGGGCGGGGGCAGAGGCAAAAGTGGGTGGAGCAATGAATGCAATTTTTTTCATTATACAGTAGGCTAGTTTCTGCAAGCGTACACACATCTCTCTCTGCGCTACATCCAGAAAAGCAAGTGGTATTTATCAGAGTTCATGGACATGTTCTAACAGGGCAAAAACTCTCAAGGAGGGTCTGAAGCAGGGCAAGTCAGGAATGTGGCCTGGGGAGAATCGTGAGGGCCAGGTAGAGGAACTTTGAGGGCCACATTTGGCCCCTAGGCCTAACACCCCTACTCCTATGTTAAGTCCCTCTGGTACTCTTTTCCACCTAGTTTGCGAGAACAGGCTTTGCCTCCTCTCCCAAAGTGGGGCTTAAACTAGCTTGGTAATAATTGCAAGCAGAAATATATATCTTGCAGAGGGTATCTAGTCACAGGTGGTGCAAAATGCCCAAGAAGAATGAAATGAAACTATAATTCCTTTCTTCTGCCAAACCCTCCATCAGTTTGAAAAGTAGGCTTCTGCACGTTCAAAACGGCATAATAATAGCATCCTAATGGTAATTCATATGTGCCCACACACAAGAGAGGCTGTAAACAGGTGTTTGTTCACTGTATAGTTAGTGACTGCTTTATCTCTAGTTAAGTCATCTGGATGCTTAACCACTTGCAGTAGGACATGTTGGAACCAATGTGTTCTTAGGGGCTAGCACCATAGTTGCAAACATTTCTTCAATTTTCATTGTGAATTAAGAGAAATTTTGGTATTTCCCCAAGTTCCACCCCCCCTTTCGATGTCTGAAACCTGTCTCATGCGCACAGACACACCCCTGTCAAAACCAAACTTAAACCCCAATCCCCCCAGGATGAACATTCACCCCAGAATAATTTAATTTCTGTTAGCTTGTTGTCGCAGCGTAGGGTAATCCCGGAGCATAGCGGCACCTTTAACCAATTTATTGGGCCATGAGCTTTTGTCGGCCAAAACCCTCTTTCTCAGATGCTTGAAGTGGTCACGTCAGAAGGAAGAATTCAAAACTCAAAATATCACATTTGCAAATCCAGGCTTTGAATCCTGAAATGGAAAAATGTGGGTTGCGTGACATGCGTTTCCACACGCATATTTGAAAAATGAGAATGGGAGGTGGGGGTGGGGATGGTGGGTGGAAATCCTTCCCCCTTCTTTTATTTTCTTAGAAGAAGTTTGCAACTTCCATTTCCCCCCACCCACCCAATATCTGTCTCGGAAGCTGGTATAGGGGACATTCTTGGCCCTGTAACCCCCTCAACTTGTGGGGGTGCTTCTGGAAGGGGTTCAGCTGAAAGCGGGCTGGCTGCCCCAAAATATATCCACACCCTGGCTGAGGGCGCTGCTGTGAGGAGGAAGTTGGCAGCCCCCTGTATGAGCCAGCCTCCGAGGCGGAGGTAGGAAACTGGGGTGTTTTTTTTCCAGAGAGAAAGGTCAAACTGTCTCTGGGCAGGCGGCGTCTGGTTCAAATGAAATCCAGATGGGGTCTGAGAGGGCCTCGGGATCCCACAGAATCCAGCCCCTCCACACTGGCTCCCATCCAAGGCCTTCAAATCCCGTGTGTAGGGGAGCTGGGGTTGTCGGGGGGGGGGGGCTTTTGAGATGGCGGCAAGTGGGGAAAGAAGGGGGGGGGCAGACACACTTCAAGCCTCCCGCATACGGTTTCAACTAGCTCCCTGCAACAGTGCAATTTTCCTTTTCGTCTTTTGGCCTGCGCCCCGTTTCCTTGGCAACGGGGGTCCCTGCCAGTGGAGCCTGGGGCTTTGGGAAATGGCCCTTTAATTGGGTTCAGATGGCGGCCCCTCCCTGACAGTCTCTCTTATTTTCTCTTTCTCCCCCCTTTTCTCCTCCATCCAACTGGATCCTTGTCTCTGGCCCACAAAACAGGGTGGAGGCCCTGAGAAGACTAGGCCAAGTTCAGGGGGAACTTTCTAAGCCCACCTCCCCCCCACCCCACCAAAAACTTTTTCAGAAGCTTTTGTTTCAAAAAGGGAGGCGAGCCTTTGGCTTTCTTCCTCCACCTGCCCCTCAACCTAAGGAGGGTACAAGCTGGGAGGGTGACTCCTGGCGGCAAGATGGGAGCCACCCCACACTTTGGGGCTTTCGCTGCAGAGCAAACCAAAGCCTGTCTTAGCCCAGAATACCTGCTTCCAACAGAGGACAGCCTGGTGCCTCTGGAAAGCTCCCAAGCACAGCAACTCACCTTGTTGTTGTTTTAAAAAATCCTAGGCACATGGCATTCAAAGATATACTGCCTCTGTTCATGGGGTTTTTATTTAAGTCGCAAAATGGCAATGCAAAACATAAAGGATGCAATCTGACTTGGTGGGTTGCAAGCTTCCTTTACGACCCAACGAGAGCAGTATTGCCTTTGCAAAACTCATGTTTTGGATTACAACTCCCATCAACCCCAGCCAGCACCAAAGGCCCACCGAGCCCAGTGCCCAGTTCTCAGCAGCTGCCAACCAGACACTGATGGGAAGTTCCATTGGTGGAGGCAGAACATTGGGATAGAGTGCCTCTGAACCTGCAGGTTCTGTTTAGTTACAATGCAGCAGTCTCAGTTCGAGCTTTGTTTGCCTTTTTGCCTTCCCAGATACAAGGCTGCCAGTCTACTTGTGTGTGTGTTTGTGTTCTTGACTAGGGACGCGGGTGGCGCTGTGGGTTAAACCACAGAGCCTAGGACTTGCCCATCATAAGGTCGGCAGTTCAAACCCCGTGACGGGGTGAGCTCCCGTTTCTCAGTCCCTGCTCCTGCCAACCTAGCAGTTCGAAAGCACGTCAAAGTGCAAGTAGATAAATAGGTATCGCTCCGGCGGGAAGGTAAACGGCGTTTCCGTGCGCTGCTCTGGTTTGCCAGAAGCAGCTTAGTCATGCTGGCCACATGACCCGGAAGCTGTACGCCGGCTCCCTCGGCCAATAAAGCGATATGAGCGCCACAACCTCAGAGTCGGTCACGACTGGACCTAATGGTCAGGGGTCCCTTTACCTTTACCTAGTGTTCTTGAGCTACCACCTTCATTCTTGCCCTGCCTTCCGGCTTTGCCAATTTCCCTTAATTCTCTCCCAAACAACCACACATGCATTGCCCTGCGAGTACCACACAACATCTTCCAGCCGCACCACCCAAGCAGGAAACAGTTGCTGCTCATTCCCGCTGAATATTGGCAGAAGGTGGAGCGAAACAGGGTGCTGGGGGTGGGTTGTGTAGTGCAGTCTTCCACCAGCCTGCAGCTCCCATCAGCTCCATTTTTGCAGTTCAGAACATCTAGAAGGCACCAGGTTGGCAACAGCTGGCGTAATGTGACAAGACTGGGTTGGATGGAGAGTTGAGGTGTGATCCATTTGTGTGCTGTGATCCACTCCCTACCGAGAGAGAAGATGACGGAAAGCAGTGACAGGAGCGGAGAGGTCACAGCCACGCAATCTCTTTAAATCACTTTTGCCCCACTTTAAGAGTCATGGAGGAAACTGGGAAGTGTAATTTGTTAAAGGCGCCTTGTTTGTTTGTTTATTTGTTACATTCAGATGAGGCTGGGCAGGGTTTTCAACCCTGGCCTTCCAGGTACTAAGTCCGGCACTCTTAACCGCTATGCAATCGCTGGTTCTCGAAACTACAATTCCCAGCACCCTTAGCAAACTACAATTCCCAGGATGTGGGTGTGACCAGAAAGAGAGAAACTTTAAATTAGAAGCAGCTGTCAGTCGAGAAAGGGTTGCAGGGCAGAGAAGAAGAAATCAGCTTTCATCTTTCTTTCTTTTTCTCCTCTTTATATCTTTATCCAAATATTTGCTGTGTGTATGTATTTTGTTTTTTCTAGGGAAAAAAAAAGAGGATACCTCTTCCTTTATTTGACTTGTGGGTAGTCATCCCTCCCCCCCACCCCAGCCAGCTATATTTAATATCCATCCCATGGGGTTTGGGTTCTTTGCTTTCTCTCTCTCTTGACGTATGCAGGATGCCATAGGCGAAAGGAAAGCACGCCTCCTTCCAGGATTCTTTGTTGCTGAAAAACCTCCCTTTTTGCTGCTGTTGGTGGTGGTGGTTCCCCTTTATTGCTCAGGCCCTCTCTTGGATTAATTTGACAATCGGGTTGCATATTTGGTGTAATGAATTCAGCTATTGCTAGCTGTGGGGAGGAGGAAGGTAGAAAGATAGCAACTCAGTAAGCTAGTTTATATTGAGTCAAAGCCTTGGTCCGCCCTACACTGACTGGCAGCAGCAGCTCTCCAGTGTTTAATACTGGGGGTGTTTCCACCTGTATCTGGAGATTCAACCCGAGACCTTTTGCAAGCAAAACAGATTCTCTGCCACTGACCTATGACCCTCACTGCTCTCTTACTGCTAGATGTTCTGATCAGCCATCTGTTGGCTCATGGCTTCACTAGGGGGTTCTCAATTCATTCAGATCATTTATACCGGGGGAACCTCCCAATAAAAATAACTAATCCTTACAATCTAAAAAAAAGGCACAGCATGAAAGGAAAAAGAGAAGGAGAGGGAAGAGGAAAATGCATGTACCCGGGCACTAAATTCTTACTGTTACAAGGCTCTTACAATGACCAATTGGTATAGAAATGAGCTGCTCACATGGCTCTTTAAAATTTAACTGTGTTATTCAAATGGAAACATGCACATATACCCAAATGCATTTACCGCTTCATGAAACAGCATGCAGATTAAGGTCCTCTTCAGAGCCATAGAAGCTAGAAAGCTTTTGCTTTTTTCAAAAAAGGTGGTTCACAAGACATCACATTGGAGCGTAAGACAATCATGGGATTGCATGCAGTTTAGCAAATTGTGTTCCCTTCTTCTAGTAGAAAGAGGTGCTCATATCACTACCCATCTGTGGTCTGTTGGCCTAAAAGTATAATCTGCCACTTTTTGGTAAACTTACGGTAAACCTGTTAGCTTGTTTTTTTTCCTATTGCTCTTGGGACAGCTGATCAGAGAATCACTTGCACGTTAGATTATCCTCTGTCTCCAAATTCTATTGGTCACACCCACACTTATCCTCTTTGATATCCCTCAAAGAGTCCTAGGAGCTGTAGTTTGCCTCTCTAGAGAGCTACAGCTCCCAGGAATCTTTTGGGGGAAACCACATGTTTTAAATACAGTGGTACCTCAGGTTAAGTACTTAATTCATTCCGGAGGTCCGTTCGTAACCTGAAACTGTTCTTAACCTGAAGCACGACTTTAGCTAAGGGGGCCTCCTGCTGCGCTGCCGGAGCCCGATTTCTGTTCTTATCCTGAAGCAAAGTTCTGAACCTGAAGCACTATTTCTGGGTTAGCGGAGTGTGTAACCTGAAGCATACGTAACCTGAAGCGTATGTAACCCGAGGTACCACTGTATCATTTTCAACCAACATGGTGGTTCTCATCTCTTTCCTTTTCCCCCTCTCTCTTTTTACAGACCTGGATGCGGACAACCTCCCTGCCTACTGCTCACTTGCCCTGGGAGACCCGCCTCCCTACACCTCTCCCCTGGGAATCCCCTGCCCTCTGCATCTCGGCGGGGGCCGTGCAGGCATGCACTCCCCCCCACCCCGGCCGGCCGACTTGGACGGCGACACCTTTGAGAGCCAGCCCGCCCGGCGCGTCCGCCTCGGAGGCTCCCGTGTGCTGGAATGCCCCAGCATCCAGATCACCACCATTTCGCCAGGCCGGCGGGCCGAGGAAGACGACTGGGACTCCTCGCCTCGTGACTACCTCCTCCTGGAGGCTTTCGGGGGCTACCGAGAGACCACCCCGTCTTCCGGCTTCTTCACCCCGAGCCCTGCCAGCAGCGGCAGTGTCTCGCCTTGGAGCTTCTTTTCAGATGACGAAGCCCCCGCCGGGGACGATGTGGAGCGGGAGCTGAACGAGGCAGCGGCCCGCTTTGCCCTCAGCTCCCCCTTGGGTTCTCCCCGGGGCTCCCCCAAGCCATGGTCACCCGCCGACGAGTCATGGCAGCCTTACGGCGCCAGCTATTCCCCGAGCCGGGGCGCAGAGGATGGATGGATGCTCCTGGGCCCGCGGCCAGCTTCGCCCTGTGGCAAGCGGCGGTACTCCAGCTCTGAAACTCACTCTTCGGCATCGCCGTGCCTCTCTCGGAGGGGCAGCCTTGGAGAGGAGACCCCGGGGGAGACCGTGGAGGCAGGAGGCGACACGGCGCCCTTCAACTGTACTGGAGCCCGACCGGCCGAAAGCATCCCCCAGAAAGCCCGGAAGACCTCGACCGAGCAGACAGTGGCCCTGACCAGGAAGGAGGAAGGGAGCTGCAATGGGGAGGATGGGGGCAGCGGCACCACGGGGGGCTACGGACTTGGCGTGGGGCGCAAGGAAGGAATGGATTACCTGGCAGTACCTTCCCCGCTGGCCTGGTCCAAAGCTCGCATTGGAGGTCACAGCCCTGTGTTCAGGTAAACCAAGACTCTAACGCTCTTTAAAGTTTGTATAAATGGTCCCCTTCTTCCTTCCATGCAAGGATGTTGAGAGTTTGGGTTGGAACCGTGGCCTGAGAGAGGGTTTCTAAAAGCGGTCATCCAGGTGGCTTGGGGCGATTCCCAAGCAAGGCATGATGGGAATATCCGTCTTGGGATGCTTATCTCTAGATCTTGGTAGCTGGAGGTGGATGGCTTTGCGAATGTGGAGTTACAAGTTGGGCAGATCCCTAACACACACATATTATTAAAGCACTCTGGGAATTGTAGCTCTGTGAAGGGAGCAGGGATCTCCTAACAGCCCTTAGCAAACTGCAGTCCCCAGGATTCTGTGTGGTTTCCAACAGGATATTAAAAACACAATAAAAGATCAAACATTAAAAACTTCCCTAAACAGGGAGGGCATTCCACACGGCGGGTGCCACTACAGAGAAGGCCCTCGGCCTGGTTCCCTGTAACCTCACTTCTCACAGTGAGGGAACTGCCAGAAGGCCGCGGCGCTGGACCTCAGTGTTCGGGCTGAAAGTTGGGGTTGGAGACGCTCCTTCAGGTATACTGGGCCGAGGCCGTTTATGAGCTTTATGAGAGTGCTTTAAATGTATTGTGTGGATGGGGCTTTGCTTCTTATCTTCCTCACATGTAGTTCTTTAGTTCACCTCTGGACTATCCGTAGTTTATAGGCAGGATTGTGGAAATTTAGGTTTGTGCAATTTAAAGTGGATTAAAGTGCTCTGTAGCAGCAGATCCACTTTTAAAAAATGGACTTTTGGCAGGTTCGCAGGGATGGGGGAAATGCGCTAAAACGTGTAGTGTGAACAAATGATCAATGAGGAAATGCTGGGCTTTCCCCCCCCCCCCCCCAGCAGGAGCTTACTAGAGCTCAGCTCTGGCACCTCTCAGGTGGGCACCATTGTGATTCTAAGAGAGCATGGGAGAAGTCCGTGGTGAGCTCTGGCACCCTTTGCCCCCCTGGAAAAATAGCACTGAGGAATTGTATAACCACTGCGCAAGCAGATCAAGATGAACCCTCATTGTCATATAACCTGCCCACAAACAAATTAGAAGGAATGCTCAGTAAAGCACAGGCGTATAGCTTTTTCGTAAGCTTTGCGCAAGCTAATCAGGACGAATGCCCAATTATCAGGGCATCTGGAGCAGCCCCAGCGATTGCAGATTTTGCTGCCCTCCTAGCGTGGATCCTAGCTATCTTCCTCTAGCATCCAAAGACCTTCACCTGAGCATGCCGTTGTCGGGAACTGCGGATGGGGGTGGAAGCCATGGCTCCCTCCCTCTCCCACCCTTAAGCCAGCCGGTTTGAATTTGCCAGCGCCATTGCCGGCTCTGTGGTTTGGCTGCCAGAGTTTCTGTTGTATAAAAACAACTTGTCAGACCAGACCAGGCAGAAGGGCTGGTGTCTCTAGTTACACATCCCAGACCCCAGCTCTGCATGCGGTGCTGGGGGCGGACGGGTGGGAGCTGGCGTAAACACGCAGTGCCTTGTTCCCTGTTAAGGTAAGCAGCTGGATTGGAAGAATTTCCCCTGCATGGTGGATCAACGTCATGACCTTTGAGTTCGGGGGCAGTGGCTCCATCCATTCCCTCCTCCGCCCCGTTTGCAGTTCCAAAGCCCATAGCCAGCAATATCCTGCCAAGCCAAGTCCCCCGTTTCTTCAAAGCAGAACTTAGCATCTCTTAAGCCAAGCTTGTGAATGCAATGGGTTAGCCTGCGACAACAACCCCACGAGAACTAAAATACAGTAGACCTTGCATATCTTGCCTCCTTGTTTGCAGAGATTTCTATAAGGGTGATACCGGCAATTTAGGTCAGCCTTGCAAAAGCTGAGCTGCTGCATTAAAGGGACTAAATTTGCAAGCGCCAAACTGCTGAATCAAAGAGCCTTTGGGTGCGTACACAGTACCAGCTTAAAGCGCAGTTGGTTGTCCTTTTCCCCAGCTGGTTCTGGGGAAAATGCATCAAAACTATTTCATAAGAAAGAACAAGACAGGTACAGGAGAGAGATGGATTTTGGCTGACATGCATACACCACTTCCCAAAGTAGCAGTGGGAGGGCACTGGATACAGAGCAAATAGTGTGTAGACAGCTTTTACCCTTTCTTTTGGGAACTCTGCTTCTGTGCGACATGTACAAGGGGGAAGGGTTTTGCAGGAGTCCTTGGCCAAACTCCCTCTGTATGCAAATTGAAGGAAGTCTCATAGAATAAGACACCCAGTTTCATAGCCTCTCTGCATGTAAAATCTATGGCAGGCTTCCTCAACCTTGGCCCTCCAGATGTTTTTGGCCTACAACTCCCATGATCCCTAGCTAGCAGGACCAGTGGTCAGGGATGATGCGAACTGTAGTCTCAAAACATCTGGAGGACCGAGGTTGAGGAAGCCTGATCTATGGTGTGGCCACTTCTTGGATACGGTGTACTCAGAAACCCGGTCTCTGAAACCGGACACAGAGGTTACAGAGAAGGGCGACCAAACACATGGAACACCCGGTGTTTGGAAATGGCCTACAGCAGGAGTCTGCACATATCTCAGGCTTATATGGTCCACTTTGTCTACCAGCCAGAGCCAGGTGCAAGACTGTGGGCCAGCCAGGGGAGCATATGCTGAGAGCAGAGTGGCTCTGAGCATATGCCTGATCCAGCAATTTGAGACCTATATCTAAACAGACCTCATAAGTCCTTTATCTCTCATTCACACCAATCCTGGTTTCTTCTCCACCACCATTCTTTCATCGCAGAGCTTTCCAAACTGTGTGTTGGCTGCAGTGTGAATGCTCCTTGTGCTCCTACCGGGGCTGGAAAGAGATTGGTTTAACCTCCAGTTTGCTAATAACACTGAATTACTGTGTCACAAAATGATGCATGTCTAAAAAAGTGTGTCACCCATATGAAAAGTTCGGGAAGCTCTGCTCAGGGCCGTCTTAAGCATATCTGGTGCCGTGGTGCAAAGATCCCTCCGGTGCCCCCCCCCCTTTCCCAGGGTGGCTCCTCCGGCGGGGAAGAGGCGGAGGCTGGACGCGGCACCTCCTGGCTCAGCTGGCCGCTTCGTGCCGCGGTGGCCACTGCAGGCAGCAAAATGAGCAAGCGGGCCTATACTGAGCGAGGGCTCGTGCGCCACTCCCACCGAGCGTTGGCTAGGTTTTTTTCCTTTTAGCTTTCTGGTGCCCTGCAGAATTCGGTGCCTGGAGGCTAAAAGGGGGAAAACCTAGCCGATGTGTGGCGGGAGCACGCTCACTCACTCAGTGCGCTTGTTCAGTGTTCCCCGGACTCTTGCCTGGTGCCCTCCAGAACTTGGAGCCCCGCGCCACTAGCCTCTATGGGTAAGACGGGCCTGGCTCTGCTTTATAGCATTCTCACTTGTTGCTGCTGATAGTCAACTGGGAGTCCGGAACGCTTGCTGAATTACTTCAGATCCCCCAGAGGTCCACCAGTAGCTCCTGATTTGCCTTCTGTCCACCCCAAATCTTAAGCATTTGAAGCTTTTCAGTTGTTGTTTTTAAAATATATCATTACAAGGGCAGCTTCATCAGATCACACGTGGTGTAGAGCAAGAGGTAGCCAACATAGATCATAGAATCATAGAATCATAGAGTTGGAATAGACCACAAGGGCCATCGAGTCCGACCCCCTGCCAAGCAGGAAACATGGTCCTCTAGATGCTCCTGGAGCACAACTCCCATCTCCCCTGATCATTGGCCATTGTCCATGCTAGCTGAGGGCTGATGGGGAATTGGGAGTCCAATAAACATCTGCAGGGACAGCCCTGGAGAAGAGAAGGCCAGTAATAAGGAACTGCCTTTCCCAACAGCTCTCCCATATATAACTCTGGGTTGCCTAAAAAAACATGGATTGGCTGACATTTGGGACAGGCCAGAGGGCTTCTTTGTACAACGAACAATTAATTTGCAAAGTACGGCAGCCTTTTGTGTTTTAAGCGCACTGGCCTGCTAGACAGTGGTGGCAAGCAATTGCATGCAGGAGGCTGCAGAGCAGGGATGGGGAACCTGCGATCTTCCAGATGTTTGCAGGACTAGAGCTCCCATCATCACTGAGCATTGGCCATGCCAGCTGGCACCGATCGGAGCCCAGTATCGCCCAGAGAGCCACAGGTTCCCCATCCCCATTCTGCCTGGCCGTTAATTTGAATTCAGCCTGCTCTTTTATTTCCCTTCTCTTCCCTCCCCCTCCCCTTTTATGAAGATTACCCGCTCTGAGACCCCACAGCTAATTCTCCCCTGGCCTCCTTGCTGGCCCAAGTAGGACTAATTCAGCCAGCTAGCCCTGGTGACTATCTAATGCTTATTAGATGGATTTCCCCCAAATTGATTTCTGAACTTTGAATTTTATTGTTATTCATGTTTTTATACTGTATTTTATGCTGCTTCTACAATTAAGTGTTTTGAATTTGTTGTTAGCTGCCCTGAGCCTGGTTATCTGAACTGGGAAGGGCGGGGTATAAATAAAAAATTATTATTATTATCATCATCATCATTACTATTATCCCTGCTGTACAGGCTAGTGAGCTGTATCACTCCTCTGCAGCCAGCATAGAAACCGAGTCCATTGCCCGGGGATGGCAAGAGGCACTTTTCCATGTTGTAGGAAGGACAGAGAGCTCTCTGCAAGGCTAGTAACTTTTGTGGAGTTACATATAAGGCAGATTGAATTTGAGATCACATGGTGGCCACTGGTTTGTTTAGATAAGGGCATAGGAGGACCCTGTTGGATCAGGCCTATGGCCCATCTAGTCCATTTCTCACTGTGGCCAGCCAGGGTCCCATGGCCAGCTCACAAGGAGGACCTGCATGTAACAGTGTCTGCTTGTGATTCCAGTGACTAGTATTCAAAGGGATACTACTGCCTCTGGCAGGAAGGCGAAGATGGTCACTGCGGTTGGGGCAAACGGATATCCTTATCATCCATGAATTTGTCTAATCATCCTTTAAAGCTATCCAGAATGGTGGGCATAGCTACTTCTTGTGGGAGAGTGTTCCACAGTTGAATGATGTGCTGAATGGAGAAGCACTTTCTTTTGTCTGCCCCGAGTCTTGCAATGTTCAGCTTCATTTGAGAAAAACTTCTCTCCGTCCACTTCATGCCTTCCATCATTTTATAAACTTCCATCATGCCTCTTCATACAGTGGTACCTCGGGTTACATACGCTTCAGGCTACAGACTCCGCTAACCGAGAAATATTATCTTGGGTTAAGAACTTTGTTTCAGGATGTGAACAGAAATCGTGCAGCGTTGGCGCAGCGTTAGCGGGAAGCCCCATTAACTAAAGTGGTACCTCAGGTTAAGAACAGTTTCAGGTTAAGAACAGACCTCCAGAACGAATTAAGTTCTTAACCCGAGGTACCACTGTACTTGACTTTTCTGTAGCTAAGAAGCCCCAATTCACAGAATCACAAGAGCTGTAGAATTGGAAGGGACCCTGAGGATCATCTGGTCCAACTCCTGTCCCATCCAGGGATCAAACCTGCGACCCTGGTGTTATCGCCACCACACTCTAACCAATGGAGCTACCTCAATTTCTGAGCTACAAACTCAGGTTGCAACCTTTCCTCATAGGGTAATTCCTCCCTCCCCTTGATTGTTTTGGTTGCCCCATTCTGAACCTTTTCCCCCTCTGCAATGGACCAATTCACGGAGAATCGATCTAGCTATGGCAGTGAGCTATGATGGCAAAACAGATCATGTTTTGAAGCTGCATATCTCTAGATACACTAACATGAGCTTGACCAAACTGTGGGAGGCAGTGGAAGACAGGAGTGCCAGGCGTGCTCTGGTCCATGGGGTCACAAAGAGTCAGACACGACTAAACAACCACAAAATCTCAAGATACGAGCTACTGTGGACAAACTGCGAAGGGAAGGGCTATAGCTTGGTGGTGGAGCATCTGCTTTGCATTCAGAAGGTAATCCTTGGGCATCTCCAGGTAATCCTTAGGAGAAGCCCCTTTCTGAAACCTTGGATACCTCATGCTCTATAGACAATAATGAACTATACTGTATATAATTTGACTTGTACATTTTCCTATGTTCCTATGATTTTATGCTCTCCTTGTGGGTTTCCAAGGGCCTCTGATTGGCCACCATGTAAGAGAGGATGGTTGCATGGTATGGTTCTTAAGTCTGAATCTAGCAGGGATCATGATCTGGAGCAAGAGAAGTGTGAAATGGGTACTCATCAGGAGTGTGCTCTGAATGAATGCCAATGTGAAAAGTTATCTGGCCTCTGACTAGCTCCTCAGCTACGGCAAGCTCATAATTGGTGATGAGCAAGCCAAGAGAAAAAATATATATATTTGAAATACATGAGGGCTAGTAAATCATTGTAGATGCCTTTGCAAGCCTTGCAATTTATGTTCTTAAATATTACTAACTGCAAACTCGGGAAAGGAGGCTGGAGGTTCTGCACTGAGTGCCTGTGAGCGTTGTAGGTGGGGAGAAATTTAGCTGGTCAAATCATATGTGCCTTTTTAATAGTTGTTTTGAAGCATGAACTCTGGTAGTGCCATCTTCCCCTGCCATCCTTTTGCAGCCAGGATGGGGGGAGCTTCACCCACCATCCATTGGAAGAGAAGCCACAGCATCATGGTAGATCGCATGCTCTATGTGTGTGATGTTCCAGGTTTGATTCCTGACATCTTCAGTTCAAAGGAGCAAGTGCCATAAAAGACCGCTGCCTGAGATCCTGTCAATCAGAGTAGAAAATGCTGAGCGAGCTAGGTAGACAAATAACGTGGTTTGTTACTTAACAGCTTCTTGTGTTCCAGTTTCCTCTTTGGTGCAGCTACGTATTAAAGGTACACGAGTCCCCTGTTGCGAGCAGGAGGAGGTCGGACGCGGTCACTTCCAGTGCCTAAGTTGTCAACTTCATGGTCCTTCCTTTCGCCCATTCCCCAGGTCTTCTGCTCTCCCCCCTCTGGACTGGCCTCTCCCCAGTCAATACGAACAGTATGAGCTGAAAATCGAGGTGCAGCCCCGAACTCACCACCGAGCCCATTACGAGACGGAGGGCAGCCGGGGTGCTGTGAAGGCCGCTCCAGGAGGACACCCTGTGGTGAAGGTATCTGAGGGGTGGGGGGAGCTAACAAGAACCGGGATAAGAATGGGACCAGGGGGTTGGGTGGGTGGGAAGAGGGACAATGAACTAAATAAAAGTTCCCACTTCGCATCTCTCCTGGAGGAGCCAGTGTGGTGTAGTGGTTAAGAGCGGTAGTCTCGAAATCTGGGGAACCGGGTTCGCATCTCCGCTCCTCCACATGCAGCTGCTGGGTGACCTTGGGCTAGTCACACTTCTCTGAAGTCTCTCAGCCCCACTCACCTCACAGAGTGTTTGTTGTGGGGAGGAAGGGAAAGGAGAATGTTAGCCGCTTTGAGACTCCTTCGGGTAGTGATAAAGCGGGATATCAAATCCAAACTCCTCCTCCTCCTCCTCCTCTTCTTCTTCTTCTTCTTCTTCTTCTTCTTCTTCTTCTTCTTCTTCTTCTTCTTCTTCTTCTGCAACCACAGTCTCACAAAACGACTGTAGGCCAGGCACAGGGAACTCATGGCCTTGAAGTCATCGGACAACAACTCCCATTATCCCATGAACATTGGCCCTGCTGGGTGGGGCTGATGGGAGCTGGAGTTCAAAAACTTCTGGGGCATTGAAATGTATGGTAATGTGGAAAAGGCAATAATGCATTCTCCTATGTATCATGATTTTGCCTTGAAAGTGGGCCGAGAGTACACCTGAGCATGTGTAGAGTATATTTATTCTCACCACATAATCACAGGCTCCACCTCTATATTTGGGACAGGAGCTAGTAAGGCTTTTAGGCTGAGGGCTGGGTGCCACCTTTGCAATTTAGCCAGGTAAAGCCAGCTTTGCTTTCGACACCATTTATTCCGTAAGAGCTCATATGCATTTTTTTATTTTCTGCTATTGTTGTTATTTTTTAAAGCCCTCTCCTCTGCCCCCAGCCTCCAGGGAGCTTGTTGTCAACGTAGTTTTTTTTAAAAAAAATACATATATAAATATCTCGGCATTTTCAGCCAAGCTAATCCAGAAGGGAAACTTCCTTTTTTCTTTTTCTTTTAATTCTCTTTTCTTTGAGGGCTGGTTTGAAAGTCTCCATCCAGAAATTTGAAAGATGAAAACTATTCCCACTTCAAAGGCTGCTTGCGGGGGCCAAAAAAAGAAAAAGAAAGAAAGACAAATGTCACGGATTTTGTTTGCAACAAATTGTGAAATAGCCGCACGCTAAATTTAGATGAGTGCCTTTTAAATAAGTGGGAAGGTTGAAACTTTTAAAAAACAAAACCAACCCACGGCTTTATGAGAGTGAGGGGGTGATATTTGGCCTGCTTGTTCTTATAGTGACAGGGAGGTTTGATCAGTGCATGTGTGTTTTTGTGCTGTGATGCAACTTTCCCTATACTGTACTCCATCTCTTTGTATCCTAGTTTCCTCAAATTACGATGTGGAGATCTATATGTACATTTTCCGTGGGGTGGGGTGGGGGGGAGGTTGGCATGAAAAGCTGAGGTCCGTCCTTTCTCTCTTCTCGTTGCCTCCGCCCCCCCCACTCCATTTTTGTGTGTGTATTCTTCCCCTTCCATTCCCCATCACATTCCCCTGTAACCAGGATCTTGGGGCTGCCCTTTCCCACGCTCTCATCTCAGATTCGCAGCGCTGGTCTCCTCCTGCATCCAGCCCCTCTGCGTCACTCTTAGGGATAGCAAGTCGGAGTGTGGAGTGTTTGTATGTGCGCACGTGGGACAAATACCCCCACCCCTTGCTCCATATGCTTTCTGGCAAATTCCACTCCTCTTCTGCAGGCGTTCAGAACTTGCCCTTCCTTGCAGAGAGGCAAACCCTCCGTTTCCTAAAGCTGCGCCCCCTTCCCCCTTTCTCTTGCCATCTCCCTGCTTCCCATTCCCCACCCCGCCCTTTCCAAAAGTTGGCATAGGTTTCTGCAGGTTCCAAGGCCGCTTCCACTGCCCCCACAATCCTTCAGGCCTCAGATCCTTCCATCTTCCGTGGCATGAGTGGGGAGGGGAGAGGTAAAAACGGAGCATTTTCCTTTAAGGCTCAAATCGACTGCAGCTGGAAGTCTTGGCCTCTGATTGGAAACATCTGGGCGTCCCTGAGGCAAGACCACCGATGTCTCCAGCTGCAGTGGCCTTTGCCAAAGAGGGTGGCTGGTAAGGAGGTGGTGGAGACAGGGAGTAATCAATATGTAAGACACACAGAGCTCTTTTCATGGAATAGAGGCCCACCTTCCAGGTCTGTGATTGCACAACTTAATTTAAGACAGGGATTAGCCCCCATATTTTATTTTATTTTATTTTTTAAGACTGAATAAAGTCTCCGGAGAATTTGAAGCAAGCATATTTCATATCCACTGCATTGATTTTTATTTTTTTTAATGACAGCCGAACCTTCTCCTTCAGCTGCTAAGTGTTTATGAACATTCTGTGACATCATAGCCACAGGGTCTTGGACAGACTGTTTCCTAGCCCTGCTGTCTCTGAACCTTCTGAAGTGGTGATGGCCAGGAATTTGAAACTGGGACTTTTAAAACATGCAGATCCGTGACCACCCATTGCGGGTTCTTCTCGCAAGGAAATGAACCGGGCCACCCCTTTGCCACATACAGAGCATCTGCCATGACGCAGCGTCACAGAATGTTCAGAAGTGGACGGGGAAATTCACATGTAAGATGTCCCATTACAGAATGCATTGGCTGGGGATGGTGGCCAGATTTTGGCGGGGATGATCGCTTAAGTCTCTTTGGCTGTGCAGGAAAATGTCTGGGGTGACTATTTTCTCCTAGAGGGGTGGCAATCATCACACTGATTTTGCCACATCCTCAGACGAACTCAAAAGCTCGGTCCGCGGTCACGGCAATAAGATGAGATATTTTATATCGGAGAAGCTTACCGTTCTCCTTTCTCTCCCCACCCCAGCTTTTAGGCTATGATGAGAAGCCCCTTACCTTACAAATGTTCATTGGCACGGCGGATGAGCGGAACTTGCGTCCCCATGCCTTCTACCAAGTGCACCGCATCACTGGCAAAATGGTTGCCACCACGAGCTATGAATCCATCATCAATGGCACCAAGGTCCTTGAGATGTCCCTGCTGCCTGAGAATAACATGGCTGCCAAGTAAGAATTGCTTTGTGGGGCTTTCGAAGAGTGGGGGTGATGTGGTTGGTGAATATGCCCAATTATTAAAAAATAAGGAAATTCCTCCCTACGTAGCAGCAAACCTGATTTTGCAACTGAGTATAGATGCTTAACGGGACGCGGGTGGCGCTGTGGGTTAAACCACAGAGCCTAGGACTTGCCGATCAGAAGGTCGGCGGTTTGAATCCCCATGACGGGGTGAGCGCCCGTTGCTCGGTCACTGCTCCTGCCAACCTAGCAGTTCGAAAGCACCTCAAAGTGCAAGTAGATAAATAGGTCTGGCGGGAAGGTAAACGGCGTTTCCGTGTGCTGCTCTGGTTCGCCAGAAGCGGCTTAGTCATGCTGGCCACATGACCCGGAAGCTGTATGCCGGCTTCCTTGCCAATAAAGTGAGATGAGCGCTGCAACCCCAGAGTCGATCATGACTGGACCTAATGGTCAGGGGTCCCCTTACCTTTATAGATGCTTAACAGGGAGTAGCAACCTATCCTGTGTTGGATGAACATACTTAGTGAGTTTACAACACACAGGGAGGTGGGTTTATGCAATTTCAGAAAGATAATATATTTACAGAGCAACAAGGTAGACCACCCCCCAGGTTCCATCCCGTGCCACTCTCAAATTGAATGCACCCATTATTATTGTTTTGCGGGTGCTTTGGGATCAGTGAGTTTTAGAAAGGAGTACTGGATCTCAACAGGCGCTAGCACCCATCATGGCCAGGCAAGTGCCAGGGCCCAGTTGAGCTTTTGCAGGTCTCCAGTTTCCTTTTCATAAAACCAGTGCAGTTGTTGCCTGCCATGTTCTTTTCCGCCATTTTCTTTACCCCATAATGCCTCTGGGTTTGCAGTGCAGTGGGGCTCAAGGCATTCTGGGGAAAACAAAATGTTGGGTGGCTGTACATGTTTTCTGGTCTACCCATTGAAAAGAAAGAAAAAAGAAAAGAAAACCCTGTGTTGGGGAAATAGAAGAGGGCACTTGCAGAGAGTAACCCAAACCTGGCAGTGACCCTGATTTTCCCCAAGGCAAAATGTGTCCTAGTTATCAAATGTGTGTGTAGTTTCAGTTCAGCTCTAGGCAGGATTCTGATGCTGGTAGGAGACAGAAGCTGATGATCTAAGAGACTCTTCCTTCTCTTCTATTCTTAGGCGGGGTGGGGGACCCTTTTAGCCCAAGGGCCATATTTCCTTCCAGGCAGTCTTCTGGAGGCCACATGCCAGCGGTGGGTGGAGCCACAAGCAAAAGTGGGAGGAGCTACCCTCTGGGGGCAGGTCCCAGATCTGGAGGGCAGATCCAGAAGGAAAAATGGGGAGGAACAACAAATGCAATGCTTAGCTTAATACAGGAGCCATGTTTCTTGGTTATCCCTCCATCCAAATGAGCAAGAAGCATCACCAGAGTTCAGTGGAATATTCTAGCCAGGCAAAAGCACTCGAGGAGGGTACAGAGCAGGCCTGGGAGGAAGGGGTGTGGCTAGGGTCCCAAGGGCCCAACATGGGCCTGTAGGACTCTATTTAACCCACGGGACTGAGATTTGCCATCCGTGTATTGAGAAGGAGGTGCATAACATGAACAGTGAACTGCCGTGGATTCACAGACAACTCCCCCTTCCCTTTTCCCCCCTGCACCAGTATTGACTGCGCAGGGATCCTGAAGCTACGGAATTCGGACATTGAGCTGCGCAAGGGGGAGACGGACATCGGGCGCAAGAACACGCGGGTGCGCCTGGTCTTCCGGGTCCACGTCCCGCAAGGAAATGGCAAGGTAGTCTCTATCCAGACTGCCTCTGTACCCATCGAATGCTGTGAGTGCCCTCTGTGGGTGTTGTGGGTGGGTGGTTGTGTATGGGAGAAGCAAGCCTCCATGTAGCTGCAGGGCGGTCTGAACCCTAAGGTCGCATCCACACCAGACATTGAAAGCACTCTAATACCACTTAACTGTTGCGCCCTCCTAAAAAAAAAAGTATCACGGGAGCTGTAGTTTGTTAAGGGTGCTGTGGAATTATAGGTCTGTAAGGGGTCTCCTAGCAACTCTCTCAGCACCTTTAGAAAACTACAGGCCCCAGGATTCTTTGCACAGAGGGAGCCATGACTGTTTGAAGTGGTATAATGCTACTCTCAAATGTATAGTGTGGTTTAGATAGTTCAGACGACTTTACTTGATCAGTGCAACAGTGCCCCCTGGGGAATGCACAGGCCTGTGAGTTACACGGACTTATATAGAAGTGCATGCATACATAAAGGGCGATGCGGCGGTGTGACACACCATGCACTGGTGTGAAAGAAATAATTCAGTGTGACTTGGTGCATTGATCAAAAAGTCATATGGAGCAAGACGTAATGTGTTGTAAAAGGAACTGTTGGAAATTGGGACGGAAGCGTTAGCATTATAAATGCAATAATCCCTGCATCTGAATGCGCCCATATCTCTGGAGATCAAGAAAAACAAAGGTGATTTCCCAGAGCGCAATGCTGATTAGGCCAACTTATGCTGATCCACTTGTGAACACAAAATGGCGGCTGATTCATAAGAGGCTAGGCCAGAGGCATCATGGAAAAGGTGGATTTTAGAGGGGGGGGAGGGTGGGTTTGGGGAGGCAGTTCTCTTGTACACTGGGTGTATTCGGTTCTTCATTCCTTTTAATGGAGCATTGTGCAAGGTGATCTCTCCTTTGTGAACCCCTCCTTTCCTCTCCTGCGCGCAGCCCAGCGCTCAGCTCAGGAGCTCCCCCAAGTGGAAAACTACAGCCTCAGCGCGTGCTCGGTACATGGCGGAGAAGAGATGGTGATCACTGGTGCTAACTTCCTGCCCGAATCAAAAGTTGTCTTCATTGAACGAGGCCCCGGTAAGCAATGCGCAATTTTTAACTTGTGGTGATGGGGCGGAAGCTTGGCCTTTAATTGCTTTGGAGCACGGGTCGGTCATGACAACTGAGAGATGGAACATCCATCTTCTGGGGCAGTTTACCACTAAATTGCCAGATGCTGGGGACAAATAGCAGGCGATGGCCTGCACGGCCAGTTGGTGTGCTCTCCAGAGAAATGCAACAAGCCTTTAACACCTTTCAATCTCCTGCCCTCATCATCCTTGTTAATAGGCCCTCCCCTCCATCTGATATTGGTCAATTTCTTTTGTTGTTGCTGTTTTGCTTCAGATGGAAAACTCCAATGGGAGGAAGAGGCAAATGTCAATCGGCTGAAAAGCACAGAGGTGAGAATTCTGGACAGTGATCTCCTCATGCGGGAAGTGAATTTGCAGTCTGCCTTTTTCCTGTCAGCAGTGGCGCTAGGTTTCTGAAACACATTTAGTGGGGAACGGGGAAAGACTTTTACTGAATGTGGATGACAGCAGGGAAATCCTGGGCTGGACCATTATGCTGATCACACAGAGACAAGTAATGAGTCTTTGCTATTGGAGAACAGCTGGTTTGTTGGTTTTTAAAAACCTCCATGCTGGTAATTATTATTGCCAGGAACAGGTATATTGAGGGGAAATGCACACATAAAGGCTCCTGGAGATTCAGTGCAGGGAAATAAGTCCTGGTGGTTTTTCTACTGATACATGCAACGTCCAGGAAGGGGAAACTGTCTAGGTGCTGTTGGATTATAACTCCTATCATTTGTGGCTGGAGCCCAGTGGCATCTGAAGGGCCTCAAGATGCCCCTCCCCAGCACGAGTCAGATTTATTATTATTATTATTATTAAAACAATTAACATTGAAATTGATGGGATATAAAAGGGATAGAGAGATAAGACGGGAAGGAATCAAATCCTGCCAAGTGGAACGGTCACTGACAGAGGCTGGTCTGGGAATGGGGAGTCCAATGGCAGTTGTTCCCAGATGAGCTGATGGAATCAGCCTTGCCATTTCATCTTTAGTTCATCTGCGGCCCAGTGGAATGGCTGACAGTGGCTCCTACTTTGAGCTTGTACACAGAGCGGGATTGAAAACGTGTACAGTGATACCTCGGGTTAAGTACTTAATTCGTTCCGGAGGTCCGTTCTTAACCTGAAACTGTTCTTAACCTGAAGCACCACTTTAGCTAATGGGGCCTCCTGCTGCTGCTGCGCCTCCAGAGCTCGATTTCTGTTCTCATCCTGAAGCAAAGTTCTTAACCTGAAGCACTATTTCTGGGTTATTGGAGTCTGTAACCTGAAGCGTATGTAACCTGAAGCGTATGTAACCGAAGGTACCACTGTATATCCTCTCATGCTGGAATGGAAACAGTCAGCTTTGGATCTTTTCATGAGGAGCAGGAAGATGATACGAGGGAACCCAGAAACGATTTTGAGAATCTGAAGTGCTTCTGTAAATGCCTGCTCATGAACTGTGGCTGGTTATATAGATAGGCGAACCTCCGTTTGGCAATTTTCTACTGTTCAGCACATCACCTGCTGCTTTTTTCCTGCTTCCACAGGCCTCACTGACCCTCACTGTCCCCGAATACAGCAACAAACGAGTGTCTCGGCCTGTTCAGACCTATTTTTACGTCTCCAACGGACGCAGGAAAAGGAGCCCTGCTCAGGCCTTCAAATACTTACCAGGTACATCAAAGTGCAAACTGGAAAAGGGGGGGGGGGAATATTGAGGGGGTGTATGACTGCTAAATGGGACGCGGGTGGCGCTGTGGGTTAAACCACAGAGCCTAGGACTTGCCTATCAGAAGGTCGGCAGTTCAAATTCCGTTGCTCTGTCCCTGCTCCTGCCAACCTAGCAGTTCGAAAGCACCTCAAAGTGCAAGTAGATAAATAGGTACGGCTCCGGCGGGAAGGTAAATGGCGTTTCCGTGCACTGCTCTGGTTCACTAGAAGCGGCTTAGTCATGCTGGCCACATGACCCTGAAGCTGTACGCCGGCTCCCTTGGCCAATAAAGCAAGATGAGCGCCGCAACCCCAGAGTCGGTCACAACTGGACCTAATGGTCAGGGGTCCCTTTACCTTTATGACTGCTAAAAGTGATATTGATGGTTTTTCTTTCTCCCCCCTCCCTTTCCTCTTCAACCCACCCATCTCCTCCAGTGATCTTCAAAGAAGAAGCACTCCCAGATGCCCCGCACCGTGGTTTCGCCCACACCACTCAGAGCTCTCCTTTTCCACTACAGCCGGCACAGGGCGCCATGGATTTCTCTCCCTCCAGACCCCCCTTCCCTTACTGCCCCGAGCGCTCCCCGCCGTGCTCCCCCTACGGCCCCGACTGGAACCCTTGCTCCTTCTCCTGCCCCAACCGCTACAACCCTGCCTTCCGTTTCCCTCAAAACGAGGCCTATAGGGGTGTCAACCTCTCTGTGCCGCTCCTGTCTCCAGCGGGCCTGCCCCATCTCCATGCCCTAGAATGCCGCCCGCCCCACTTCCAGCCTCCCAGCCCACAACTCGGCGCTCAGCCACCGGGGCGGGGAGAGAACCGCAGCGGGGAGAGGACTCCGGAATGGACAGATCCAGAGCTGGGGTCCCAAGAACATAGCGCCAAAGAGCTGGAGAAATCGGGATTCGATGGTGGCTTCCGGGATAACTTGCCCATCCATGGGATCACGCTGGAGGAAGGTATAGCTAGAGCTGTGAAGGGGGCAGGGGAAACAAAAACATGTCTTTGTGTCTTCTCTTGAGATATTTACAGGTGATAGATAGATAGATAGATAGATAGATAGATAGATAGATAGATGATAGATAGACAGACAGATAGATATTGTCAGAATCGTGGTAATCTATGGACCTCCCCAGGATGCAGGTGGCGCTGTGGGTTAAACCACAGAGCCTAGGACTTGCCGATCAGAAGGTCGGCGGTTCGAATCCCCATGACGGGGTGAGCTCCCGTTGCTTGGTCCCTGCTCCTGCCAACCTAGCATTTCTTAAGCACGAAGTGCAAGTAGATAAATAGGTACCGCTCTGGCGGGAAGGTAAACGGCGTTTCCGTGCACTGCTCTGGTTCGCCAGAAGTGGCTTAGTCATGCTGGCCACATGAGCCGGAAGCTGTACGCCTGCTCCCTCGGCCAGTAAAGCGAGATGAGCGCCACAACCCCAGAGTCGGTCACTACTGGACCTAATGGTCAGGGGTCCCTTTACCTTTTTATGGACCTCCCCAGACTAGTGGTTTATTGTGGATGCATTTTTCAATACAGTCGCACCTTGGAAGTCGAATGGAATCCATTCCGGAAGTCCGTTCAACTTCCAAAACATTCGGAAACCAAATTGCGGCTTCTGATTGGCTGCAGGAAGCTCCTGCTTCCAATCAGAAGCTGCGGAAGCTCCATCAGACGTTCAGATTCCAAAAGAACGTTCGCAAACTGGAACAATCACTTTCGGGTTTGCGGCCTTCGGGAGCCAAAACGTCCGAGTTCCAGGGTGTTCGGGATCCAAGGTACAACTGTATGCTCATGACACAGTAATAGTGTATTTTCATGGTGGATTTCGTCTGCTTTTGTTTGTTACTGCTGTCTGTACAACAAAAGCAGGGTAGAAAAAATGTTTGTGGTATTCAGAATTTACAGGATTTCAGCAGGAGGTTATGAATATGCACTGACTGGAAATGAAGCTTTTGCAGGCACGAACAGTATTCAAAAGCAGGATCGTGTCTAACCACCCCGATAGCATTGTGAGCATAAGTCATCATGTATGCACAGTAAATAATAAAAAAAGGATGCCTGGGGAGGCCCCAGGTGTCTGGAGGATATGGAGCATGCAAATGTCACCTCTGCAATCCCAGGCCACAGTATTCTGCAAGTTCCACCTGCTGATCTGCCTCGCCTGTCCTAGGCCGCAAGTGGCCCCAGGAAACATAAACTCAGCAGCACTGCTGGTGGTGTTTTTCTCTTATTGCAGATGTTGAATAGAGAAATTAAGAAATTTCAATTTGCCTAGGTCATGAACTTGCTTAGGTGAGATTTGGGTAAGGACAGGCTGAGCAACTAATTCAGTCCCTCTTTTTTGTCTCTTTGGAGGTCAGCCATAGGTCTATTCCATTGTGTGTGTTTTAGAGAATGCACAGATCAGCCTTTTAACTTACACACTTCTTACTTAAAACACATGTTTTTAAGGTTAAAATATGCACTTTTCAGTGCATTCACATGTAAAAGAAACCCACATGTTTTGCACGTCTTTTACATAAAAGGCGTAATTTTGTGCACACTTTTTGCGCATCAGAAATACATAGCAGAATCCAGAGAACTGCATGATCTGACTAGGAGTTGCACACCAACCCACAAGCAGGCTCAAGAGGACCAGATCCACCTGCTGCAAACAAACAAATTCATCCCCAAGCCCTGGGGGGGGGGGGGGGGGCTTGAGTAGTTTGCCACTGAGCTCCCAAGGCAGCACTTACGAGGCTTCTCTCAAGCCCTCTCCATCTCGCCCACATTGACCTCTTTTCTCTCCACAGTAACCGAGATCATCGGCAGGGACCTAAGCGACTTCCCCGAGCCCTCCTGCGAAGGCAGGCGGAGCTGAGATGCCGCTGGATTGCGGGGCGCTCTGATCTTCTAAGAGAAACCTGGAGCTTTGACCCAGAGAAAGTTGGCAACACCAAAGATCACCCTGAGTGGCCAGTTTTCAGGGACTCTCTGCGTCCATGAGTTTTGCTTCTGACATTTTCCTGCCTATCCTTTTTATTCATTCCTTCCGCCACTCCTTTTCTTTTCCTGTCAATGCTTCCATAAAGGGCAAAGTCAGCCTCAGAATGGCCAAGGCAGTGGCTCTCCATTCTCAGACGTCCCGGCAGAAGAAGCCTCAAAAGAAGCTCACCAGCAGAGCTAACACTGTGGTGGCCACCTGTTTTTGTTCATAGTATCTGGTGCTCAGAGATATGTATCATTCTGGACCGAGAAGTGGGCTTGCACATCTGGCTGTCATGGCCCAGAGCGACCTTATATCGTGACTCCTTAAAATGTATGATATTGGCCAGTGTGTTGCAATGAATTCCATGGCCCAGCCTGGGCATCTAGGTGAGGCCTTCCATTTGCCAGATTGCCCTGTCCCTTCTGCTCATCCGTCCAGTCTTCTGCGCATTTTCTCCACCTGCTCTCGGCCGTGTCCGTCCATCCAAACCACCAACCGTCTACCCTTGGCATTGACAAGGGCTCCAAGTTTCTCCTTGATGGTGATGTCTAAATGACTTCCAAAATGGCTTGTGCCATAGGTTCCTGGAGACAGGGCTGGCCCGAGACGTTTTGGCACCTGAGCTGAACCAGAAAATGCCAGGGAGGAAAGGACTAGTGAAGATCTACATCAGGGAGGGTGGATAATGATCTGTCCTGGGAACAAGGATGGAAGGAGACCAGCAGCACCTCCTATTCAACAAGAGGAACTGAGGAAGCGATAGATCCGGCCTACAAGGAGTAGCAGGCGATGCATTCCTTGGAGGCCAGATCTGCTGCCCTTGTGTACCCTGAGGTGGTTGCATCCCCTTGCCTCATGGGTGGGCCGGCCCTGCCTGCAGAACCTTATCAGAAGGTTCCTTGGCTAGAGGAATAGGAGCGCAAGGAAAGTTGCTCTCGAAAGGCAGAATGCCCCTGATTCCTGATCTTGCCTTGCAGTGGCAGGGAAGCGTCGTGTAAATTCTCCTGCATTTGTTCAGTTGCTTCAGGGCATTGTCAAGGAGTGTTAAGCCTGGAATGTGTCATTATATCAGGGCTGGGGAATCTCCTCCAGATGTGGCTGGACTCCAGCTCCCATCAACCCTGACCGTTGGCCGTGTTGGCCAAGACAGACAGCAGCTGAGTCCTGACAACATCTGGAGGGCCCCAAGTTCCCTATCCATGCCAGTACATTTCCCAGGCTCTGTTGTTTGCTTGCAGGTATTCCTTGTCGAATGCTCTGGGGGGACTCTTTGGTAGGCCATTTTGTGGGTATGAGAAGTCCATGGCTCTCCAGATGTTCTCCCACCAGCCCCAACCAACATGACCTGTGGTCCAGGGTGATGGATGTTGGAGTTGAACAGCAACATATGGAGACCCCTGATGTACCACCCTCTCCACCCCCTCCACCCGTCATCTCCTGTGGTGCAGTGATCCTTCTGAAGAACAGCCGTGACGAATTTTTTCCTCAATGGTTGCCAGTTTCCTTGTTCTGGAATTATTTTATAATTGTGCCCTTGCTGAAGAAGCTGCTGATGTGTGTGGAAGGGGAAAGGAACCGTACCACTGTTGTCCTCCCACCTTTAATATATATGCTTCCAAGTTGGTCCGCGGGGAGGGAAATCATTTCCAGTCGGGAGAAAAAGCCATAAGATGTGTCACTGGTGCTAACAGTAGTCCCTAGTCCTCATGAAGACTCTTCCTTACAAGGGTTATTGTAATAGGTGAAGAGGCACATAATGTTTTCAGAGCAATGGGCTGCTTTGGAAATGGCCTTCCTACCTTCACTCAAAAGAGATGTGTATTCCTCTCCAGAGTTGACCAGGTGAGTGGGAAGCGGAGGGAAGTATTCTGTGAGCTTGCAGCAGGAACTGGCTGTGCACAGTGCTGATTGGCTAGTGCTTGTGACGCAGCCAGGATCCCCCCTGCATCCTCAGAGCAGTTTTGCACATTAACTTTTTTAAAAAACAAAACCAAGAAGGTGTTGAATTAATAAAGGTCAATCCAGTACCTTTTTATAATAAAGTAGGTAAGCTGTCTGAAGTGGCAGCATAGGAGACAGATAAGCCTGATATAATTCATCCAGAATTTTGATTGGCCGGTATGCACATTTGTGAAGCTAGGCTTGCTCTGCAGCTGAGAGTCCGGTGAGCTCTTTCTGCACCCTTACAATCACAGTGATTTTTAAAAAAATCAAAGTTCTAGGCCCTAAGCCTACGAGGACTATTCTAGAAAATGTGAGGATGCTGGCTGCCTTGCACAATCTCAACCGTCACGTGACTCCATTCCCCACATTTAGCAGAAATGGGATGTTTATGCAAAATGAGTCAAAGTATTCAAAATTATTTCTTTAACAACATTTATTCAGGTTTCAGAATCCCAGCTTTTCTGAGCCAACAGTTTGCATTATCTGGGTGATGAGTTTTCAATCAAGTGGAGAATACGCAGTTAGGCAGTTTGAGAGAGGGTGCCGCCACCGAACTACAAACGGGGGATTGGCAACTCAGAGTTGATAGCAGCTGTTTTTAAAAGCATTCATCTCCCCCCCAAAATAATCGGGCATCTGTGTGAGGCTGGTAGAGAGCAGAAAGCTCAAAGAAGGAAATGAAATGTACCACAGTAACTTAATAGGGTGTTTTGAAATTTGGAGAGACAGTAGTTACGCCTAATGTTGATTCCCACCTTCCTTAAATCCTGCTCCTTGAGATTGTGATCAGAGACTCAGGGATCGGAAATGGTAAGGGTTAATTAACAGCCCCCCAGCGTTTTCCTTGTTGCGGAGGAGTGGCTGGCATTTTATATTTTTGATATGTACTTTGGGGGAGTGGTGGGAATGTTATTTTGTAATTAAACGCATAAAAAAGGCCTAAAGGAAATAACGCTTGTTGTGCAATGCTGTCTTGTGTGCGTTTCTGCCCCGGAGGTATCTGAAAGAAAGGGAAGTTCTAGCAAGCAGAGAAGCAGCTGGAGGAAATGCCAAACTGAAGTTTATTGTCTGGTGGTGGTTATCTTCCCTCTCTCTTGTTTGTGATGTCCATGTGCAAGAGCTGTTGCTTTGCAGCTACACTGGGGGGGGGTGGGCTGGGGCATGGAGGGGGACACACCAAGGGTTTGCAGAACTGCAGAAGTCTATGGAGGGAGGGAAAACAGAAGTGGGAGGTTGTGCGTGTGTGTGAGAGAGAGATGGATGGGAGAGGGGAATGAATAGAATCCGATGGAGAAAAGCATGGATGGTGGGCTGGCACAATGACCAGGAACTATCCACGCTGCACCATTTTGTTGCAGGTTGCACTTTATTCAGGATTCATCCTTTTCAACTGAGCTATATGTCTAGCTAGATTTCTAGCAGTTGTCTATCACCATCCTCCCTTCCCTTAGGGCTGCCATGCGTCCGGACATTACCTGGATTTCAAAGGCGGAATTGATGTCCAGTGGGAATTTACCCACTATCTTTAGCAAGTCCATTGAAAAATCTTGGGTTTTTTTTTTTTGCATTTTTTTTAAAAAAACAACATTGGGGTTTGTCCTAAAAAAAAAAAAAAAGCCTCAACTGTCCTGCTTTTTACTTTTTGAAATATGGCAACCCTACTTCCCTTATTCTCATTTTCATATTGTACCCATTCCCTGAGTGCTGTGGGCTACATCAAGGAATGTCTAGAAACATTCCCAACTGCTAAGTGGGAGTGAATATGGAATTGGCTGCATGTAGAGCTGGTGCCCCACCTCGTCCCCCCCATAAGCGTTCCGTACATCGAATTGTAGAGTCGGAAGGGACCACAGGGGTCATCTAGTCCAACCCCCTGCAATCCAGGAATCTTTTTCCCAGACGTGGGGCTCAAATCCATAACCCTGAGATTAAGAGTCTCTTGCGCTAGCAACTGCATTTGTCATGCATTCCACACCTACTCAGGTGTGGATCTAAACATGCTCCCAGAGCACCCGCCCAACTCCTGGTTGCCTATGTACCAACCCTACATGCAAATCGGTTGATTCATGCCACCAGGATGGTTGGTATAGGGAAAGGAGGCAGGGAGTTCTTGCGTAGGAATGCCTGTGGCTCTTCTAGAGTCACAGAGTCATGGAATGATGCTGATTGTGGTGGCAGCCACGACCTCTGTGGCCTAGTTTGGGATGTTTAATTTTTGTGCATGTGCATTTGCTGCCCTGGGCTTCTTTGCAGGGGAAAGGATTGGATACGACTAGTGATAATCAGAACTGGAAATTGTCAGAACTCATCCAGCACCTCTCAGTTGGGCGCCATTGCCATTCTAAGAGAATGAGGGAGGTGTTTGTGGTGAGTTCCGGCATCTGTTTTTCTAGCAAAATAGCACTGATGATGATAATGGAATCTCAATCAATTCATCGGGCTTGGAAAGGTGCTCTGGTCTGCAACGCGGCTGAAGGATGACTAGCTGAGATGATGGGGGTGGGATTCAGGAGATGGACAGGGAGGTCCTCTTCTACAATGTCTATTTCAGGGGTCAGCAAACTTTTTCAGCAGGGGGCCGGTCCACTGTCCCTCAGACCTTGTGGGGGGCCGGACTAGATTTTTTTGGGGGGAAATGAATGAATTCCTATGCCCCACAAATAACCCAGAGATGCATTTTAAATAAAAGCACACATTCTGCTCATGTAAAAACACACTGATTCCTGGATCGTCCGCGGGCCAGATTTAGAAAGCAATTGGGCCAGATCCAGCCCCCGGGCCTTAGTTTGCCTACCCATGGTCTATGGGCTGAAGGTGCACAGCACACCTGGTGTAGTGTAGTGTTTCACTTGTAACAGACTAGGGAGGCCTGGATTTAAATCATCACAAAGTCCACTGGGTAGCTCCTGGGCCAATTCGTACCTCTTTGCCCAAGGCAGAACAGCAAATGACATAGCTTTATCTGTGCTCACAAGACATACATCAAAGTTCTTAGCTGGTCAGATTTTGGCACCTGTGGCGCACCATGCGTGCCTCTCTTAATATGCATCAACAACAACTTAGATAACTAGCCATTGGCTGCTCTTTCACAGCATCCAAAACCAGCTGCCTGCAATGGGCACCTCTGCCCAATGTTAGGGCCGGCCCTATGAGCAGACTTGTGGTGATGCTAAAAGTATACTGCCCTGAGCTCTATAGAGGGGCAGATGAGAAAGGACCTCAATGGACAGCCCAGTAGCCTGGGAAAGAGTTTATCCCCTATACATGTTTTGATATCAGCGGATTCATACCTTTGAAAACAAGATGCAAACCAAAACACAGCCACGTTTTGAAATTTCACTTGTCCAAATTGGGCAGTTTCCTTTTTCAGATAGGTACTGTGCACAAAGTTGTATACATTAATGCAAAGTGAATGTTAGTGAAAATACCACGCAAAAATACATCAGGGAAACACGCTTTACAAAAAAAAAAAAAGTGTATATTAGGGGAATTGCATAGGAAAATGTGTGTTTTAGGAGAAATTAGCCCTAAAATGCAGATGATTTTTCCTGATTTTTTTTTAAAAAATAATAAAAATGCAAACTGACGTGGAAATGTGGAGAGCCTGAAAAATGAGAAACTCAGAGGAACCATCACACTGACATATTCACCCATCCCTAGCAATGAGAAATGTATTTTCTATGTATGTACTACGGTTTTGAATTCATGCAGCACAGTCGTCTTCTGTTGATATGCCGGTGAAGGCTGCGCTGTCTACGAGGAGCGAGGGGGAAGAATTGCTCAGCTGCGCTGCCCAGGCTCTGGCTGAGAAAAGAAAGCGCTCTCTGCACAGGCTCAAAGCCACGCTCTCCTTTCCTACCACCGTCCGGGTGCTGAGCTCCAGCTCTGATTTCAAAGCCTGATCTATTCTGTGCGAATCTTTTTGAGTCGGAAGGTACCCAAGGGGTCAACTAGGGTCCGACGTCTTGCAACGCAGGAATCATCTCCGTTCTCTCTAAAAAGAGACAAGCAGCACTGGAACCTGGCTTTTAAATACTGGGGTGGAGAGCGGCTGTCCACTGAACGCGCCCTTCCCATTTATTCGCTGCTTGGCGTCATTAGCCGGAGATGGCAGGACTTGAACCTGGGACCTGCTGCGCGCTGAAGCTCGAGGTTGTCCGTCCTGAGAGTATCTCCCACAGCGGGGAGGGGAAGCGGAAAAGGGGGAGAGAACAGCAAAGAGGTTGTGAAACAGAAAGTAAAGGGGAAGCTCCTGGCAGCGCTGAATCTGCTCCTCGCCCGGAAGGGAAGTGGGATTAAGCTTGCAATGTCTGCCGAGGGTGAGGCCTGAAATTGAGAGGTTTCCCTGCCGCAAGGAACGCTTCCAAAAAAAGGAGAGAGAGAAAGAGGTAACGGAGGGAAGGGGTTTGAGTTGAGTGGGCTCAGTCTACCTGCAAAAGGAGAGGCAAAAGCGAGTGAGAGAGTTTGGATCCTCAGGCTCCTTTCTGCCTCTCCACCCTGCACCCCCGCCAGCCAATAATGATCGCTGCGACTTGGTCCAGGATTTCCAGTAAACGTGGCTGTCTAATTCTCAGTCCTAGGCAGGTAAGGTTTCCAAAGCCACCGAACACGCCTGTGCCTATATATAGCAGGAAATAAGGCACCCACGGGCTTCTCCCGCGTGTTCCCTTACTCTCAGACAGCCCTAGGCCCTTTGCACTTGGTCACCGCTCCCGGTAAGACCCAGATAACAAGCATTGGATGCTGCCCTGTCCTGAGTCCCCCTTCTGCTCAGGTGCTCATTGTGTGATTGGCACCTTTCTATCCCATGTGGGACGCAGGTGGCGCTGTGGGTTAAACCACAGAGCCTAGGACTTGCCGATTAGAAGGTCGGTGGTTCAAATCCCCGTGATGGGGTGAGCTCCTGTTGCTTGGTCCCTGCTCCTGCCAACCTAGCAGTTCGAAAGTGCGTCAAAGTGCTAGTAGATAAATAGGTACCACTCTGGCGGGAAGGTAAACGCCACTGGTTTGCCAGAAGCGGCTTAGTCATGCTGGCCACATGACCCAGAAGCTGTACGCCTGCTCCCTCGGCCAATAAAGCGAGATGAGCGCTGCAACCCCAGAGTCGGCCACGACTGGACCTAATGGTCAGGGGTCCCTTTACCTTTACCTATCCCATTTCTATCCCAGGAGTTCCAGGTGGTGTGCCTTGTTTTCCTCTTCCCCATCCTCACAACAACCCTGTGAGGTGGGTTGAGGTGTGAGTGAGTGGCCCTAGGGCAACCAGTGATCTTCATGGCTGATGGGGGGGAGGGCGGGATTTGAACCCAGGTCTCTCAGGCCCGACCACTGGCTCTGTTGTGTAAATGCAGCAGAAATCCTGGAGGATGTGCCGAAAGAGCTGAGCCCTCTCCAAGGATCTCAAACTGCCAAAAATTCAACAAGGCATCCCCAAAAGTCAAAGTGGGGAAAGGGCAGGAAACCTTTTGAAGCTCTGATTAGAGCAGGGCTGGCCAACGCAGTGTCCTAGAGTCCTCCCTTCTGAGTTTTGGGAAGGAGGTGGGAGGCAGTGTTTGAAATTAGTCAGGAGCCAGGAGCATTTCACACCCACTTGAGACCAAGTGAGGGATGCCTGGGTGCTAGGATGGTGCCTGACACCTTCATGCGTGCCTGGGGATCCTTGAATCTTGACTGTTTTCATGCACTAATCCTGTAGGAATAGAGCAATGTATACATGGACTGTCCCTGGATCGAGTGACTTTAAGTTCTCCAAGCTCTTAACCTCCCTCAAGGTGTTACCGTCTGAACTAGCCAGACATTTAACTGACAATCAATCTTACCCCCAAATGGCAACTAGACATTCCTTTTTGGCAACTGCAACCTTGGTTTAAGGATCCATTTGGCATACAGCTTATACAGTGGTACCTCAGGTTAAGTACTTAATTCGTTCCAGAGGTCCGTTCTTAACCTGAA